TTGTTTTATACAGGCATCTGCTCTTTTCACTCATAATGAAAACTTTCTAACTATTAAACATCCACACTTCACACCATTTCCATACACTACATATATTTCATTGAACTGTAGCATGCATCAAAATATTTTTCAGTTATCAATTTATAGTTTTTCTGCACAATGTCCCTACAATCTACATGTCTGGGATGTACTTCCATGATTCTCCAAGATAAAAACGATTAAGTAAATCATATTTGTTGGATAGATCATGTTGATAAACACACCTTTCTGATGTGACAATTTCCCTCTCCACAATTGGATGGTCTGTATGGACGAAAGAACATCTGTTGTCCCAGTTGTGGACCAGGCTGACTTTTTCTAAGATGTTCTTTGCTCACATTTATGCAGCACTGGTGACATGAATTTCCCATGTAGAACATCACCATCATCTGCCCTCATTAGTTGATATGGGATTGTAAGCACCCAGTTTCCTCCATGAGAAAATCCCACAGCTGTACAAACATTCCGAAGCAGATCTAAAATGAATGGTATGTATAGGTTGTTATAATAGTAATAGTAACATTATTGTGTTAAGCATGTAATAACTAACGATAATCATCAATACATACGCTGCATATTGTGTGCACTGGCAGCACTATAGGTTATTGATAATCACAAAACACATTGGCAATATCAAATAGGAATGGCAAGAACTGATTGTTGGTGAGAAATTTAAGAAAATTTATTGTCGATTTCAGGTCACTTTTTAAAGCATGATTCCCAAGTTTGTTGTGAATATTCCCAAGTTTGTTGTGAATAATCCAAATGACGTTTCTAAATTTGGAATATTGGACCTGAAAATTGCCAAGTCAACTTCGAAAGTTGTTTACTAACTAAAGTATCAAACTACTGAACATAAACTCATAATTTGCAGTGTTTTACTAATATGGGCCACACATTTGACAAGTTATTTATTAAAGCTTTAAAGAAATGTTTAATTTGTAAAACACTGCAAAATTACGAGTTTATATTCAGTACTTCGGTACTTTAGCAAGCAACTTGTGATGTTGTCTTTGCCAAAAAACCAGTTTCATATTATTCTGACACTGCAATCAACCAATGAAAAATTTGTTGGCTCGAGTGTGATTTCAACTTGCATCTTCGGGTATCTAGCAGGGCTTTCAAAATAAGCCGGCGGCCGCCGCAGCTCCAGCGGGTGCCAAGACGGTCACCGCCGGCTACTTTGTTTAGTATTCGAAGAACAAAAATTCTGGTCATAGTTCTCCGCTCTAAGCTTTCAAAAGGCTATTTCCCTAATCCAGATCTACTTTCTATTCTCGACACGATGTGATTTTTGTAGTGCATTTCGTAAAACTTTTCCGTCTATTCTTGAAACTTGTTTTGAATAAACTAAATCGATCAGCGGAAACGAATATTGCCGCTACTTCAAATTATTGTGTTGAAGAATAACTTATGATACACTACTTCAAGTACAGCGTAGAATTACCTCGCGCACCTGCGATCTTAGCACATGGTCTTGTTTACCGAAGTCAATGATGTGTGACAAACGTCGCAGCACCCTATTTTCTTTTGGAAATGTTAAAAAAGTTAAAGGTAGGCAAATCATTCAGTTTACCTGTAAATATAAATTTGTAAAGCAGTCGTTTAGAATAGTTTTCATCTTCAATACTCATGATTTATATTTTAACCAACATGTTTTCGATATTTGTGCTGGTGTTTTTGAGTTACTTTAGGCTTTTACACAGTCTATTCTGTGTTCTTTTTCTACAAAATAAATAAATTGATACTTTTATGTGTTCTATCATCGCATGCAGCTAAGGATGAACGGTTGCAGATAAAACATTGTCTTTTCTTATGACAAAGTTCAATGTTTTACTGAGAAACTGCAATGTTTGTGATGATCATTTGATGGTTTCAATTCGCTCAGCTAATCAGCTTGGAGCTGGTTGAACGTGATTGTCTCATCTAATTAAAACCTGTCAAGTGCTCTTGACAAACTTTGAAGATTCTCACGCGAAAATGCAATGTTTTTATGAGCGACTGTTTATCCTTAGTTGCAAGCGACGGCACTGCTTATTTGCGCTTCGCTATTTTGGTTTCATAGAAACTCTTTTAAGTTTTAAAAGTGTCTTATACTGTACTGTCTTAGTAACTTACACTTAAAATAACTATTCACCAGCAAACGAAACCTCAGAACCAGAGGAAAATGTAACTCAAGATGAAACTGAAGAACAGTCACCAAATGCTATTTCCCAGTCGTTATCTTCCCAGATTCCTCTTCAGAAAGAACCTCGTGTTATCCACGCTAATCCAGCTGCGCAACCGGTGAAAACCATTAAGTCAAACCCAGTTCCAAAGGACGAAGTGAAGTCGCTCCTAAATTCGTCATTTCGTAGTAAGGAAAGTTTGCATAGCTTCTACTGCTGTGCAGACAAAAACTGCACAAACATAAGTAAAGAAGAAACTGTGCGAATCAAAGCCAAGGACAAGTTTCAACATGCCTGGATTTTCGACGGAAAACTTACCTACTGTGATAAGACTGGTTATCATTGGCTTGTTTATGATGATGTAGAAAGCATGACACCACGAACCCTCAGAATAAGACCAAAAAGTTCAACATGGATGCCTCGGTAAGATACAAGTGTAAAACAGTCGAGGAACATGCTCGTTCTGCACAGCATATGGCATCAATCGAGACTGAACTTCTTAGTAGAGTTTCAACCGGAGAGAACAAGTCGGAGAAGATGTCTATTATAACGCCTTCCTTTCTTTGCATTGGACTGCTAAACAAGAGCTTCCCAACTGCAAGTTTACACGTCTTCTTCAACTTCTGGAAAAACTTAATCTCCCAGATATCGAATTATTTCAACATCGATCGGCAGGCTCGGTACGTGAAATGTTTCTTCTTCTTGGACAAACAATTAAAGAGAAAATCCTAGAACGGGTAACACAAGCAAACTGCTTTAGTATGCTTTGTGATGAAGTTTCGGACATGTCCAACAAACAGCAGCTAGTAAGTTTCATTCAATTTGTAGACCGTGATTCTGGCAAGCCAGAGATCGACTTTTTAGCAGTGGACGATGTGTTGGAAGACTTCAATTCTGCCAATGCGGAAGCAATTAAAAGCATGATAAAGAAGCAATTCGAAGCTGGATATTCACAGCCTGTCGGGTCTTGCAACAGATGGCGCTAGTGTCATGACAGGGAAGAGAAATGGCGTTGCTGCTCTCCTACGTAGAGAGTCCAAATTGCTTCTCAATGTGCATTGTATATGTCACTGTCTTGCTCTTGCATGTGGAGATGCAAATGACCATGTTCAGTACATCCAAACAGTTGAAAAAATTTTGGTACAGCTTTGGTCGTTTTTCAAGAACTCAGCCAAGAAAAGTGCATCATATGCCAAAGCCACTATTGAGGCAAAGTCAATATCAGTATCTAATGCAGGGAAGAAAGTTCTAGTTAAAAAGTTCAAGAAGGCTTGCAGAACACGATGGCTATCCACAGAAAGAGCGATCAACGGATTATTCCAGGACTTCGTTCCTCTAACTCAAACCTTGAGAGCGTACAAAGAAGAGAATGATTGTACTGCGATTGAAACCACTGAAAGCAGTGGCAAACATCAAGTGTCTTTCCACCGTGTATCTTCTCCATGAAGTTCTTCCTGCTCTTTCACATCTTAGCAAGGCGTTCCAGAGAGGAAATATCTCCTTCTCAGCTATCCATCCTGTAGTTTTATACACAACTGACCAACTTGTTGAAATTGCTGCCAAACAAAAGCCCTTGCAAAGTCTAAAAAAAGACCTTGAGGAAGATGGTAGGCTTGCCAGCAACTCTCACTACATCCAGCGAGGACTATCTGCAAAACCCAACGACGAAGTATGTTGACTCGTTGACAGAAAATATCGAGAATCGATTCTCGGAGAGTCTTCCCATATTGACCGCTTTCCAGATATTTGATCCAATGGGCGTTCCTGCCAGATCCGATGACGCTTTCAAAGAGTATGGCATTCCTCAGATCAAGATCTTGGCAGATCATTTTTATGAGGAGAAAAAGGTAAAGGAATTGACGGAAGAATTAGAGTGTGAATGGAAAAAATTTAAGTACAATTTCCCCAGCATATTCTTGATCCCCCAAAAACAAGAATTTAACTACCCAGGCTCCGACAGAATGGGCACTTCAACACATGTTATCCTCACGATCAACGTACCAGCACTTCATGCCCCTCCTTCTCTGCATCGCTGAAGTTTGTTTGTCCCTTCCTGTGTCGAATGCGTGGCCAGAAAGAGGTGCTTCCACCCTCAAAGGTTGAAGACTCATTTAAGAAACAGCCTCAAGAATATGCTTGATTCACTTATGCACGTAGCCATCAATGGACCAGATATCAGTAGCGGTGACTGTGGCCGCCTACTTTTTCGACACAGCTGCCTACTCAAAATAATTCTGAAAGCCCTGATCTAGACTGCTGCTCTACCCATTGAGCTATTGAGTCAACAGGGATTGGTAGCGAGTCTTATCCAATTTAAGTGCACGAAATATTTTCGTGACAACTTGACGTGGACTTAAACTGGATAAGACTCGTATAAGACTCACTACCAACCCCAGTTGACTCGATAGCTCAATGGGTAGAGCGATAGTCTAGATACCCGAAGATGCAAGTTCAAATCCCGCTCAAGCCAACAAATTTTTCATTGGTTGATTGCAGTGATCAGAATAATATGAAATTGTTTTTTTTATCTCTGAGGATGGTTCTGAAATGAAATTGGCTTCGCCAGTTCCACACACAATATTCCAAATTTAGTAACGTAATTTGGAATATTCACAACAGACTTGGGAACCACGCTTTGAAAAGTGATCTGAAATCGAAAATAAAGCTAGTAGTATGAAAACATAGCAGTATCAAAACATTGAAGTAAAGCTCAACATTTAATATTAGCTTTTCATTGAGAGAAATCCATGTGGATCAAAGAAAATTTGTTTACTATTCCTAAACTTAAATTCTGGCAATAATACTAAAAAAAAAATGAACTACTGCAAACTCTTTGAAACATACTAACATATTAGGGCCATTTATATGGGACAAAATAAGTCGCCACTAACATAAGACGCGAACATGACGTATAAATGGTATGAAATCCAAGGATTTCAAGACAAGACAAGACCAAGTTCTTGTCTAAGATGCAACTTGGATAAGAACATTGATTTTAATCGTTCTTATTCTGGTCGCGTCTTAGACAAGCCACAAAAACCATTGTTATGTATAAATGGCTTTGCATCCAGCATAAGGAAAACAACAACAACAACAGCACTACAGCAACATGCCAAATCCGAACCAACTCTACAGTACGTACCTTTGCGTCTTAGGTAAGATGTGCTCGAATGAATGGTAAAACTCACGTCTTATGTAAGTCGCAACTTATTTTGATCTGTTTAAATGGCTCAATTGAAATGAACATTAGCAAATAAAATTGAAATGATTTAACACGATGGCCGGTTGCTATGCAGTTTGCTCCCGGAGTCAATTAGCCCGCGTATATTGGTTTCCTAGCTGTAAATTATGGCGCGGTTCAAATACTGCGTCTTTGGCGCTCCTGTTTGCGTTTATTTTTCAACGTTTTAAAACGATACTTGCTCAATCTGTACTACATCGAACCGTCTATTAGCTCGTGTGCACAAATAACCTATACGGTTATTTGAAAACGGTAAAATGTTGGTGTTGTTGTGGCTATGTATTTTCGCCTTTTGAGCGATGAGAATCATGCCGAGAAGGACAAATTGTACTGTCTAGGAGTCCCACAGCATCGCACGTGCATGGCCTACAATCCCCCCTTGAAAACCTTGCTGAATTCGGAGCATTGCCGGAATTATTAGCAGAAATAGCTAAGAATTCGGCATTTTTCCTTGTTTTTTAAAAATATTTTTGTTGAAACTTGATTTCGGAGAAACTTTTCAAGGCAAAGTTGAAGAATAGCATTTATTTAACAAGTCTAAATGGATAGCAGTGCCGGAGAAAGGTGTGGGAAGAAGTCTCTTTGACGAACGCATTTGCATTTTATACGCGTTCATGATGCGCCATGTTGTTGCTTCACTTCCCGCTGTGTTGCCTTTTTAGTTCGATAGATTATTGCCATAAAAGTCAAACATGTGATCGAAATAAAGGACATCCAGGAGTGTGCAACACACAGAGACCACTACCCGATAGTTTTGGGGGAAAAGTTCTGTTCTTTAACTCATAGAAGCCAAGGAGATCTGTCATGCAAGTCACGCGAGGTTCATATTTGTTTACTTCACCTCATGCTGCGCGTCTTGAGTTAGCTGGTTTCTTGACTTCGATAAAAGCTTATTGTATGCCTTATGCATGTTTTATTTACATTAATATAACTACAGAAGACTGAGTTATAGTTTACAAAAGAAATCAGTTGCACATGCCTTTATTTAACCGTTTTCTCGCTATTAAAGACAACATGCCTTTGTAATCTGATATATAGTGGTAGATGTACTATGATCTACGGAAAACCATCATGAAAAACGTTTGGAATTGTAACTAAATGATAAAATTAAGTGTGCGTAAAGACATGAAATCTTTTTCAGGGAAAGCTGCGTATCTTAAGGAATTTAAATCACTAGTATACTGTATGTTACTATTATTTTATGCGGTTACGGATCTTGCGCAGTATAAATAATAAACTGTAGTAGGCTGTAGTATACTTCGCAGGTATGATTGCACTGTAGCTAAATCTGCTATATATATTGTCAAATGGAACTATGTGTTTATATATGAATATCTCAAAAATACATCGTACACAAATATAATATGAAAGCATTTTATAGCAGAACATATTCAACAAACAATTATTCTTGCGAGAACTATAGTATTGCTAGGTTTTTTGACGCGACTAACCAAAACAGTCAGTAGCCTATGTTTCTCTGTCCGGCCATCGATATATTACTTAAATCGATATATGTTATGTATTAGCAGCATCAGATAATTTCCCCAAAATTACCTGCATATACTGATGAAGAAACACGAGTCTAGGCGAAAAGAGGAACAGTTTGTACATTGGTTTGCGTTCCGTATTATGAAATATAAACTATACGGGAGCAAATATGATATATCGTCTGCGGCGCAGGCTAGAGGTATTCGACGGCAGTTAATAGTTCCGACCGGTTATTTGACAGCTAAATAAAATTATCACAATCGTTCAATTTAAATATGGAAGTTTATAAATCAGTTAAAATATACCCAACAAATTTGTTTTAACTGCAAGAAATTTTAAGCCAAATACATGACCTTTCCGATTATAAGGTTAATAAACAACGCCATTTCGCATTCACACCAACACCGCTGGAAAAAACGAAGCCCGCGCTTCCGGGAGCAAAATGCATAGCAACCAACCACCGTGTAATGACAATGGTGAAACATTGAATTAAAATGTGCCTCATTAACTGAAAACAATCTGTGGCCCTGTTCTTGAAATTACAGTATTATGCAGCTATGTACACCCTTTATTTGGCAGGGTTGCCATATGGCAACAAATGTTAATTTATGCCTGCTGTTGTTGCTATGCGACTAAATGAATATATCCCATAACACAATGCAAGCCGAATACTTAATTCTCAAGATGGCTGCCAAAGATTTGAGATATTCGCACATGATAGAGGAAAATTAAGGCAAATTTCGTGCCATTTTAGCTAAGTGAGGTATGTAGATTTCAATTTATTACTATTCGACTTCTGTACATTTTGTTTAGTTTGTTTTTTGGGAGATTTTAAGAGTATTACATATGGATTTAGAATAATAATTTCGAGAGTATGAACAATGTTTATTAGAGCTCAGAGGTTCCGAAATATATTTGTTGCCATATGGCAACATTGCCAAGTAATGGTAACATGACACTCATTATTATGACACATATTTATATTCTTTCAGAGGGTAAATAGCTTGGTCTAAGTCACAAAATCATATAGATTTCATATGGTGCTCTTGAAACAACACTTTTAGAGTCTATTTAGACCAGAGATTTTGTATTTTTAAGCACAATATTTCTTTGTTCTGATTTTTGAGGAGCAAATTTGGGTTATTTATGTTATATTTTGTACACTAACTGCTTGTAAAGCCACAAGACATATATTTTTTGCAATGTAAACACTTAAAAAATAACCCCTGTCCCTATTTTGTATGGCGTGCATTCTATAAATAGGGTATTACATTTTAGGACGTGTATACAAGTATGTCAATGTCAGTGAAGATTGATGTCGATTATACATTGTTGATGGTATATGAATGACAATGAAGGGCAATGATTCAGATCTGTCTGACTTGAGCTCGGAAGATGATGAAATTTATCAACCAGATCTATGATCGAATGTCGGTAGTCGAGTAAGAAAGTGATGAACAGGGGAGTGATGACAATGACAACGGCAGTAATGATAGTGAGGAGGGAACAAACCAGGATGAGCGACATGTGTTCCGCTGGAGAAAAAAGACATTGCCTTTCAAAATGTAGATTTTGATATGTAGAAAAGATGAAGGAGTTGAACAGTGGACACCATTCAGGTACCGGTATTTTAAATATTTTGGAGTGACAATCTTACGACTTTAGTTACCAAACAAACAAATAACTAGAGTGTGCAGAAAAGTGGGGCCAGTGTGAATACTTTTCCTAATGAAATGGAGCAGTGCATATGAAAATTAAATGGAGCAGTGCATATAGGAATGCATATGAAAATGGGAGTTGTTGCTCCACCATCATACATCATATTGGTCCAACGAGTTACGCTATCCGTTGATTGCAGACACAATGCCAAACGGTTTGAGAAACAAATGTTATCTCAATTTTGTTGATAACATGTGTCACATTGTGGTAAAAACTAACAGGTGGTACATCAAAATCTTCTGGCATTGCATTGACATATGCAAAGTCAATGCATGGGTCCCCTACTGCTGTCATTGTAACCAATAAGGCATCCCGAAGAAGAACCAGTAGTCACAACTGAAATTTGCGCTTGAGCCGGTTGACTTGCTAATTGCGGTGAACAAAGCTGTACCATCAACCGACAATGTTGGTGAATGGCGAGCCTGGTAGGTCACCAAAGAGAGAGAGTGTGGAGGTACGACTCCATGTTGGGGCGAAAGCCTGTCACACCGAGTCCTAATAACAACGCAGTTAGAACAGACCAATTTGGTCACTGGCCAGTAGTGTATAATGACAAAGGATGATGCTGAAAGTGAAAATCTGGTTTTCCATAGTGCACTGCAGTAAATGCAAGGTTTGCCTATGCTTTACAGGCCAAAGAACTGTATTATTGAATACCATAATGGACTATAAACACTGACAATTCACAGTGAAACATCCGATATAGAGCGTTATTTGACAATTTCATTACTATAAAATTAAGGGATTTAGTACTTAACAAATCCAAAACAACTTTTTAGGGCATTATATATATTGTATTTTATTTTATATTGAAAACAAGGGTATTGGTAAAATATATAGAAACATTTTAATTGTTCAAAATATTGTCTATTCTCTTTCCGGTTCTTGGCAATGTTGCCATATGGCAACAAATTGCTGCACCCCCCGGATTTCAATGAAATTCATTTTTTTTAAAGAAACTTGTTTTTTGACCTAAATAGAGGCAAATTATATGAAAAAAATTTTTTTATCGCGATTTTTCAGTATTTGCCAATTAAAGGGCAGCCATTATTATTACATCTTGGTGATGTTGACAGCCCTTCATGCCTTGTCACACCAATAGTCTATTAATAGTAGTGCTTATGCCACGTTTGTAACATGCTCTGTGATTGGCTGATTACAAAACAATGAGAATGGAATGTTGTGCTCTTGAAAGCAGCCTGTGAGTGGGGAGAAAACATCGCACCCACGAACAGGCTGCGAAGGAGACTACCCGGACTGCGCTGATTGCTTTGTTGAACAATACCATTTCTGGGGTAGGTTGCCGATCTGTGAATGGACCTTGCAGATGTACACCAAGTGGATATGCCAAGTCTCCATAAAGAGAGAGTGGCACACCATTGTAAAATGCATGCTGCTCTAATAATGGTAAAAGCCCTGATTGATACAGCATTGTGCTGTCATGCCGTTTCCCTTCATACGGACCAGAAAGATTGGCAATCAACCCATCAGGCACAACAACACTTTGAAATTTCATCGCATGATCCTTTTGTAACCATTGTACATGGTTCGTTGATTCTGGTTTGGCCTGGTAATTCTCCGAACTGTTCCATCAATGAAACCAAAACAGTTTTGAAGCAGTGCACCATGAGCGTGTGTGCTATCAGCATACCTGCCAAGGTTTTCAGGAGATAAGAAAGGTTGCTCGAAGCTTTCAAGCCAATGATAATGTGCATTAAACACAAGGCTAATCATTTGGTTGAAGATTAGGCAAATTTCGGTTGGGTTACGGCCAAACCTGCTAACCATGTCAGTGTAGCGACATGGGTAGGCCAGTCTTTTCAGAAGGATGCAAAGACCTTCCAAGCCACTACAAGATGTTCTCTGACAGCAAATTATTTTATCAGGAATGCCAAGACAGTTAAGTAGTTTCGGGATATCACTTTTCCTGAATCGCAACTCTTTATGACATTCAGTATCATCCCAACATTCAAAATCAAACTTGTCAAATTTCCAATATGGAAAAATTTCTCGCGATTGGTTTGTTTGATAAAGATAAACAAAATCTTCAATATCAATTACATTCTGATAAGTAAGCAAGGGTAAGTTGTTCACGAAACTCTTGCAAACCATTTCCTGCCATTTTTTATTTGGTGAACGTATAAAAAATGCACGTCGTCATATTTGTAAGAATTTCTAAAATTTGAAAGAAAAGATATACAGTATCAACTGTCTTACAAAGTCTTTGAAATTGTGGAGAATGTAAAAAGAATACTTTAAAGCAAATGTTCGGGATTTCTTGGCCTCCAAAAGAATAGTATCCTAAAACAAATCACATAGATATAGTTTATTAGTTTTTCTCAGTAGTTTTAATACACGCCCTGTCTTCGACCCAAAAATATAAAGCGTCTAAAAATATTTAAACAACCGCCACACCATTGTACGATGTGACGTAGTAATCTTTTACTTCCGGTTTCCTATTTCCGGACACCCCCCCCCCCCATATATGTTCCTCTAAGGAGATATATGTTAGCCTATAGTCCTTATGACGTTCGAACAAAACAAGAATGTTACTTAATTTTAGCAGTATATCAATTGCAAGTCAATCATTGTCCTCTTCGTTAAGATTGTTTTGAATTTGTAACCTTGCTGCAGCAGCTGCATCTCTTCAAGGTCTTGGCATGAAGTCTGGAGCTGTAGGGTTAAGTTCTACAGGCAGCGAACGGTCGCATGATAATTCTAAAGGGCTGAGTCAGTTCAATGTCATCCTCCAAATAGCTCAAGGGCCTGTTGTTCAGTTCTTCCAGCTCTGACCAATGCAAAGTAGCATTGCCAATGGTCTTATAGAAAGCGTTCTTGAACAGTCCGAGGCGCTCAAATTGACCGCACCAACATGGACTTAAGTTAAACTGCCACGTAATCGAATGAATGTTGAGCCAAGTAGTTGTTGAACTTCTCACTTCTTTGTGCTTCTTTGAGCCACTTCGCTGCCGCCTTGAAGGTGCCACCATTGTCTGAGTATAATAGCTTGGGTCTTCTGCGATGGGCGACAAATTGTTTAAGACTGATGATGAACTCTTCCGTGTTTAGGGATGGTAATAAGTCTAGGAACACTCCTCGGGTCAAACTGTATCCATATAGTGCAAGATTGGATTTCTTCTCTACTTTCGACTTGGTTCGGTACATTATCGGGCCCGCAAAAATCGACTCCTATCACTTCGTAAGGTGTATTAACCACTGGTTCTGGTTCTCGGTAAGTTGCCGGGTGGTGGTGACTGGAATGCCTTTGTGCGGAATCTCTTGCATCCCCAACACTTCCCTCGTAATTTCTTCACAAGGCGTCGAAGTTGTGGGACCCAGTATAGTGCCCTAATCCTCGCCATGGTGAGTCCAACTCCCCCATGCAATATCGCCAGATGTGCTTGATGAAGCAACTTGCTTGTGAAAGGATGATCATCTGGCAAGTAAATAGGATATTCACCTTCAAGGCGTCCTCGACATTCTAAGATTTGTTGCTGGTTAATCTGCAGGTTTAACTGGAGTTTGTCTTTCTCAAATTTAGCTGTGGTCTGTGCATCACGCTGAACTCGTTTGATCCACTAGGTCTTGTGGTTCTCTATTTCGGTTGTTGTAAATGGACCCAATTCCTCCATTTCCCTGACACAAATATAAAGAAAGACGTATAAATATGAACAATATAAATATTAATATATCAAACTTACCCAATCGACTTTGATTATACATGAACATTCATGTCCATTGTCCACACAGCGAAATCTCGACAAAAATATCAGGAAAGCTACCTCGAATATGCAGATTTGTATTCAGATCATACAAAATTTAAATCGTAAAAATTCGATAAAAATTCGAAGTTTATTCCAACTTGGTAATTCTTTTGTGCTACCACCGTCATTCACAGAACAATTTATACTAGCAAAATCACAATTTTGTTTATGACATGGTGGCGTCCTAGACTCAGACCCCTCATGCAAAAATGACGTCATCGTTGCGTCGTCTTTGCTAAACCTCTCTACTGTGTACCGAAGAAACAACACAAGACGAGTTACGGACAATAATCCATACAGTAAATCTCCAAGAACAGGGAAAGTTGAACTGGGTATCTTTGCTGAACAACGATCCAACGATCCTAAATGTCGACACATCAATGACGCCAAAGAGCAACGAATCAACATTGGAAGTTGATGACATAAGACAAGCTCAAATCGAAGATAGTGTTATAGGTAAAGTGTACTCCTTTATCAAAGCAGACAAGCGGCCTACACAAGTGAGTGAGGCAGAACACAATCAAATAGTCCTACCCAGGAAATACCACGCAATGAAAAGAGAACTCCACAACAACATGGGTCATCATGGTTCTGATTGTGTTCTACATCATTCTACCCAGAGATCGGTTCTACATCAAGAACGAGAACACAGTAGAAAATGCAGTTGAAAACGAGAACACAGTTGAAAACAAGAATGACAGCGCAAGTGACGTGGAGAATGCAGTCAACACAGAGGTTGTCTCAGAATTACCAGCACACATTGAACAATCAAGAGCAAGGAGATCAAGGCACCCATCTTACCGCTTTACATATTACAGACCTGGCTAAGCTGACCCGGCAAATGTATTCTACATGACAGCAACAACTCCACCGTCTCCATTTACGTGGCCTCCTCCCTTGATGTTTACAGTGAATACTCCCTTTACCTTCGTCCACCCATCACTGTGCATTGGCCACCTTTTGTGAACACATTCTATCTATTCCCCCACCCCAACACATCTCTTCCATCAACCAGCCACCATCAAAGCAAACTGGGATTTCAATTATTAGATAACATTTACTATTTTTTACATACAGAAAAAACACTCCAAACTTTACAATATTACTTAGGATGCACACTATCCAGGAATTATCAGGCGAAATATAAGTAGACATTTATACCACAGTGATACAAGCGGCAGCATATTATTTTGGTTACCAAGTGGAAATGTGATAAATAGGCTGAAGTCAGATATAGCAAACTTAAAAAGCATATAACCACTATTGGATTCTAAAATAGCACTAATAAAGATTTGGAGCACAACATGGTGTATACAATTTACAAGGACCTGTAGCAGTGAGGCTAACACTTACAAGGAACTCTTAATAACAACATTTTGATCCTGACCTATCCTGCACTTATTCATTGGGCAGGACGTGTCACACCTAATTTTTACTATTTAAATTTGTAATGACCTGTCCCGTTCATGTCCAGCCTTATTTGGTTGCACTAAATTAGAGTTGTTAAATCTAAATTATGTGAACAACTTTCAATTACTTTTTAAATACTTGTGTTTACTGTAACATTTAATCTTCTAATGCCAAAGGCTATGACCTTGGGCTTGGAATAGTACAGTAACTGTTATTTTCAACCTCTACTATTTCTTACAAGGCAATGCAAAAGTACATTTCATCAGCTTCTCCAAGATGAAGTTTTACTGATACAAAGGAGTATCAGGACTTTCTCCAAATGTACACAGGCAAAACAAAAACACAGGAAACAGATATAATAATAGTAAAAATTATTTAATAAAACACAAAACACCCTCCTCCCAACATAACTTACCCTGCTTGATTTCATGAACTGACATAATTATGATAACAACTTTTCATTGTATGTAGCTAGTGAAAAAAATTGTTGCCTGTCAGGTAATCCAACAAAAAACAAATAACAAAAAAATTGGGACAAAACAAATTGACAAGTTATTCGAAACATTTGCATCCATGTTCTATTGGATATGTGACCAGTTGCCTTCAGATAATTTTGCTTATTCGATACAACATGGCCGCTCGTTGTGTAAACATTACTTATACACTTATTTACCATTTAAGAATTAAGGGAAATTACCGGCTCTTGTGTTAACCAAGAAGACAACTGAAAATCAAATTCAATTGTATTTTCGGTTGAAATTTTAATCAAGTTGCCCTGACAAGCATTTCCCATCTTTAGTTATGTTTCAAATTAATGAATTAAACAATTTCCTCTGGACAACTTTGTTGTTAACCTTGGTCATACTAATTACCGACCATCACTGACAACTACCGTCAACAACCAACAATTACCGACAACAAGCACACAATTACCGACAACAAGCAAATACATACTTTCATTCTATTCTTATAGTAATTTGGTTGTTTTTGAGGAAACCCAAAATATATAAATTCAACAGATTTTGTCAAACATTGTTGAGTTAAAACATTACGCGATTAAAGATGATGGGTAAGCGAAGGCAGACAGAAATTATATTTTCATTGTTTGACATCAAAATCATAAACAATAGGATTAACAAATTAGACAAGCCGATTTACTTCCCACAGCCTTGAATAAATAAGTAGATAGGAAACAAAATTTCAAGTACAAAAATACAACTAACTACCCTATTATCTATAATAATATAACTACCAACTCCTATAAATTGTGTATGTGTATATTGTATAATGTGTCTAAAATGTTTTTAATAGTATTTTCAATTTGGTACTACGTACGAAAAGAAGAAACAAGCTATAAATTATTTCCATCAATTCATATATGTATTTGGGTTTCCCCCAAAACAGCCATGCATTGATACAAATAACTATACGAATACAATGAAAGTATGCATTTGCTTGTTGTCGGTATTTTTCAGCTTGTTGTCGGTAATTGTCAGCTTGTTGTCGGTTGTTGACGGTAGTTGTCAGTAATTAGTATGACCTGTTAACCTTTATACAAATTTTCTTTCATCTCTACTGATCTTTTCATTTGCCTATACAGCATTAATAAAATATTAATTTTTTTTCCAGTGAATGCTTTCCTGCCAATTTTAGCATGATTCAAACATCCTTTGTATTGTATGGGTTTACTCAGCCACTAACAGCAATGCTGATAATGGAGAATACCCAAAATAATTAAAAAGGTCTCACCTCAAGATTGTTGTGGTATTTCCCAAAGACAATTTGTTGTAAAATGGAAGAAACGATGCTGTCTCAAGATGAAAAGAATAAAGTTCAAATATTCAGGTTAGTAACATTAAATAAGCCCTACTATACTTATATCTTCCATTCTCCAGTTTTCACATGATTCCAAACAGTTTTGTGTGGATGCAATCCCAGCAATCTTTGTTCCATTCATAGTTTTACTTAATTGAATTCAACTCACAAGCCCCTTTGTTATATTTAAAGTTTTTTCATACATCTACTACTGTGTATAAACCAATGTACAACAGCTAATAATTTTTTTTATAAATTTAATATATTAATATTAGTACATTGTGGACATCCACCCTGCTTGGCCCTTTCATTCCGTCCCAACTGAATTAATACTGTACATCTTATTATTGCAATAACCGCATTGCTGCTCACATTTAAATTAAACTTTGAAATTCATTTGAAATTCTTCTACATACAGACTTCCATTTTACATACTCTAATATAATCATATTCATCCATGTTTAAATAACCCATTTATCCAATTGTGTTATTTATTGTTGTTTTTTTCTTTACCCACTTTGTCTTAAAATATATTTTTCTATTTTTTAATAACAGTCATTTTCCTGGCTGCTTTATATATCGACGGAGTGAGCACATATACAATAGAAGACGACAAAATGACAAATGTTGCGGTAAACCATACCGTACGAATTACAGTCGTTTTGCCAAAGGGTCGTTTCGCCAACGGTCTGTTCGCCAATGTCTCGAGTCGATTCGCCAACGTCTCAGGTTGATTTGCAAACATATATAAAGACATGCATCATATAAACTGTACTTCATTTATGGACAGCAGGTATTTTGTATTTTTATATAATTATTTCTATCTGTAGAGCCAACTGTAATTTGTTAGTTTGTAAAATGCTGTAATTACTAATTAGTTAAGTGTACCATATTATGTAAATCCTGATAAGTTCATAAAGAAATCTTCTATTCTTTTGTATTGGTCTATTCCATTTAAAAGACGTAACCCCCCTCTCGAGGACAAGGGTTTTACCATATCCCTGAAGAATTCCTGACATAAAGGACATCCCTGAAGAATTCTTGTTAAATGAGGCAGGTCGCACCCCTTAGAAGGTCGCGTGTGATTGGCTAATTCAAATATTCATTTTTTTTGTGTTTCCAAGATGTCATCATTTTCCGGTACATTTTTGCTCCACTTCATTTTCTAAAAATGCCGTCTGGTTTCGCATCGTTATTAATATCGCAGTATTCAACCAATACATTTTATACTGTTCTAACATACATTCCAATTTCCTTAAGATTATACCTAGTGATCATAGTTGCGGACATTCCATCTACTCAAGGTGAAATTTAGGGAGCCTGCTAAATGAATTGAAATCTAGTTCTTCTGTGAAATACAATAATACGGGAGATCAGGAGATTGCATGAATTTTTGGAATCTCCCTGTAAAATCGAGAGTGTTTGAATGTGGGATATCTTGTTAGTAGTGTTTCAAGGTGTTCATGGTGGCTAAGATATGTACATACACATAGTAATCACAGCTGTCTAGGTAGTCTTGGTGGTCTTGGTAGTCTTGGTGGTCCTGGTGGTCAAAGTGTTTTAATAATTCTTCATTGTTTTTAACAATACCTTTTATTAGTAGTGTTTTAAAGTGTTCATGGTGGTCAAGATACATATACATAGTAATCACAGCTGCCTAGGTAGTCTTGGTGGTCCTGGTGGTCAAAGTGTTTTAATAGTTCTTCATTGTTTTTAACAATACCTTTTATTAGTAGTGTTTTAAAGTGTTCATGGTGGTCAAGATACATATACATAGTAATCACAGCTGCCTAGGTGGTCTTGGTAGTCTTGGTGGTCTTGGTAGTCTTGGTGGTCAAAGTGTTTTAATAATTCTTCATTGTTTTTAACAATACCTTTTATTAGTAGTGTTTTAAAGTGTTCATGGTGGTCAGGATACATATACATAGTGATCACAGCTGCCTAGGTAGTCTTGGTGGTCTTGGTAGTCTTGGTGGTCAAAGTGTTTTAATAATTCTTCATTGTTTTTAACAATACCTTTTATTAGTAGTGTTTTAAAGTGTTCATGGTGGTCAGGATACATATACATAGTGATCACAGCTGCCTAGGTAGTCTTGGTGGTCAAAGTGTTTTAAAAATTCTTCATTGTTTTTAACAATACCTTTTATTAGTAGTGTTTTAAGGTGTTCATGGTGGTCAAGATACATATACATAGTGATCACAGCTGCCTAGGTAGTCTTGGTGGTCTTGGTGGTCAAAGTGTTTTAATAACTGTTCACTGTTTTTAACAATACCTTTTATTAGTAGTGTTTTAAAGTGTTCATGGTTGTCAGGATACATACACATAGTAATCACAGCTGTCTAGGTAGTCTTGGTGGTCTTGGTGGTCTTGGTGGTGAAAGTGTTTTAATAATTCTTCATTGTTTTTAACAATACCTTTTATTAGTAGTGTTTAAAGTGTTCATGGTGGTCAGGATACATACACATAGTAATCACAGCTGTCTAGGTAGTCTTGGTAGTCTCGGTGGTCAAAGTTTTTTAATTATTCTTCATTGTTTTTAACAATACCTTTTATTAGTAGTGTTTTAATGTGTTCATGGTGGTCAAGATACATATACATAGTGATCACAGCTGTCTAGGTAGTCTTGGTGGTCAAAGTGTTTTAATAATTCTTTGTTAGCAGCTGTTTAGGTAGGCTAAGATAGTTTAATAATTATTCTTAGCTAGTTGGGTGCTATTGGTGGTCAACGTATGTTATTGAATTTAATTTCATTCAATTGCTGTTAAAGATTTGCCATTGTGTCTTGCATAACTGACTCCACTGACTTCTTCTCCATTGGTTTTCGCAATACGGAAACATGTCTGGATCATGAGATTCAGTAATTACAGATAACGATAATTGGGGGAGGGGTCATATCCATATATTCGTGTTCTGCTTTATTAATTTCTTTTGTAATCAATTGTTTTTATGGTATGTGAACACGAATACATAAATGTGCCCCCCCCCCAATTATCGTTCTGGCTACGCCACTGATGAGAGGCCTGATACTCAGGCTACTGATGAGATTAGCAAAATTGTCCAAATTACTCTTGCTATCTTGAATTCCTTACGTGCGTAATACTCTTTGGGCTGATTTGTATATGTATCAAGGGTTTGGAACTGTTTGTCACTCAGTCGGCAAAAGTTTTGTTTTCTAGTCTGAAAGTTGTTTTTTCACTCTGAAAACCATGAATTGGAAATGAAGGGGGCAAAAAGCAAATATTTATAGCAAAATAGAATAGCTAAAATGTTCGAAAATCGTACTTTGTGTTTGGAATATCGATACAAATGCTGCTATCTCAGGAAACATTTCTTCTAATAGTATGTTCAAACATTTTTTCCTGAATCCTCCACCCCGACAAGATTTGGAGAGTGGGATTTTTATACATCAGAGTAAATCAGTCGGTCAATGTCTGTTATATTACCCCCCCCCCCCAATGAAAGAGAATTAGCGACGCACCAGTTAATACTATAATCCATATTGGTTATACTGCAGCGTTCAACAATCTGGATAATTGATAATTGATTAAATATTTAAAAGTATTTCCTGCCAGCATATTGTTTGTGGTATAGCAATGGAGATTCACACATGAATCATATCCAGGGGGGGGTAGGCAGGGGCAGCGCTACTCATGAACAAGTCGGCAAATTGCTGCAAAAAATCACAACAGCTCGATATTTATTGAAGTTTTTATTGCGGATTTTGCTTTAGTAAACCTATATTGTAATTATTTTTGAAAAAATACTGTTTTTTAAGCAAAATGAAGCTACTAGCATTGTACAATTCATATCCAAAAATGTCTTTTCCACATTTCTTTACCGCCTTTTTTTTCGAGAACATGCATTGATAAAGGATTTTTTTCAAGATCCATGTTATAATTAGAATATTGTAATTTAGTCAATAGTTATTAGCATGCAGACTGTGGGCCTACCACATGTATATAATAGCTTGTGTAATTAGTAATGGGTTGTTCAGTTTAATAAAGTATATGAACAGGGTCATGTCATCAGGAAAATGATTTCTCTTTTAATTTCGTAAAAAGAAATGTGAAATGCAATAAAGAAATAAATTACTAGTTAAAAAACGGGGGTCACCGATTTTTTTTAGGGAATTGTGGCGTTAAAACGTGAAATGGAAGTAAATAAATATACTACAGACACAGGAACACTAGCTACACTATTGTATGCCTTTTTTGAAAATATTGATTTAACATAATTCTTTGCACGTATGTAACCAAAGGGGTCTTGAAGTAACATAAAATTACGGTACGTATGATGGATAAAATTATAAGTTATAAGATGTGCGCAGTAAAAGTGCGCAATGCAAAACTGCAGAATTACCTTAATAGCAAAATAAATCACTTTGATAATGAAGGAATATAAGTTCACTTTGTGAGGCACAGAGTTTCTAATTTCAAAGTCTCATTTTTACAATTGAACTGTTGTCTATTTAAGAATACTTGAGTACAAAACAATATAATACCAAGCACTGAAAAGAAACAGAAATACAACAATGTTGTAGATCACGCTAATCTGAAAAACTCCCAGAATTTGTAATGTCCGATAATAGCTTGTCTTCAATCGCTTCTTGTTTATCCGCGACAAACATCGCAGACGAATTCTTGATTCTTCTGTGGTTTTTTTGTCAAACTGGTGCATTCCCTACATACAAAAGTGGGAGAAAATTTAGTTAAAAATATGTATTCGTAAACAAAGTGATATATTTCCTGTTTATATTCGTCACCAGTCACCGTTTCACATTTATGAATAACTCACTTCCATTGGACTATTAAAAGTTGGCTCAACATTCCGCAAAAATTACATGCATCAAAGGTAACTAAGCATTGTAATAGCACTATCTATACGAGTGAAATAGGCTGAATAATGCTTCTGCTTTAAAAATATATAACTACTTACAAGTGCAACCAACCATCACATTTGTCACATTGAACCGATGAACCTGTCCATTCATCATCTGGTTCGTCTTTTTTACATTTAATGCAAGTATCATCTGGAGATTTCACAACTTGTTTACCTGCAAAGAAATGATTAATTTAAGGGACGGACCATTAGAACAGTGATGGGCAGGGGGAGGTGGTCCATTTCCAACATGCACGATTATTTTTTCAAAATTTTTTGTTGTGTCGATTTTTTTAATCCCTTTTAAAACGAATTTTATTTTTTTCCCCAAAAATTGTTGGAGGGGGAGGGACTTTAAATTTTTTTTGGACAAACAAAAAAGGGTCAAAAAATTTCTGGATTAACAGCAGGGTTGTTAAGGTTTAAAACACATTTTCCCTGAAAAAATCTTCGTACGAAAAAAAAACAAAACGCTTTTTTGCACCAATATATGCTACTGGACTGAATTAATTTTGATCCAGTCCTAGGACTGGATCAATGTACTTCATCAGGTATCCAGTATTATCATGTGAGCAAAATAAAGCAATATGGTTGGCTAATTTACTCATGAATTCTTAATGAGTTTGAGATTGTAATTTGTAAATATATTAAAATGACGATAAATGGAGCTTGAATTTATAACTTAATTATGCTACAATATGCTTTACACTGGTTTTACACAAGGTAGTTAGATTCATCCTTTTATTTTAACGATGCTGACGACTTTGTAAAAACTGTTATAATTTTCGGTATCATTTAAGCCAATATAACACAACAACATAAGATTTAAATTATAAATATTTATAAGTGATCATTTTACCTTTATGACTTTTATCCAAAATCATTCAGAACCTATTTTATTGTTATAAATATTTGAAGGCAAAACTCATTATTGAACTAGTATAATAATTACGAACCTCTTTTCGGTAGAATGCCGATTGTTCCTTCGGAAAACAGTCTTTTCTTCGAGCCTATATTAAAGGTACATTGTATAATTGCAGTCTGGAACATGCAGGCCATGCATGTGAAACCTAAATTCTCAGTTTAGTTTAATTTATAGTGTTAAGTTATACATTTTTATGCAGTCATGATATTTTCTGTTGTAAATACGTATAATGTGAAAATAAGTAACAAAGAAGTAAAACCTCGCGTCTTTTTTGACGTAAAAAATTACGTACGTTCATTTGATGATGTTGATGCCATTGATGGAGTGCAGCTTCCTATTTCTGGCAATTCATCTAAATTAATAAATTTACTTTACTAAGCATTACTATGTTGTCAAAATAATGTCGATATCATACGTTATTTTCATGAGTGTCTATACCTGTACTTTCTCTTTCAACTTCCTCCCTTCGTGCCAATCTCAAACCGGCCAGAACACCCTACCAGAATAATTAAACAATCCAAATATATATATATATATATATATATATAATCATATTTTGCTGTCTGTCTAAAGAAATAGTAAAGGAGTTTTAATTTATGGGTTCTAATGAAATCAATGCATGTAAACTTATTCATAATGCTGCATAATTATATATATGCATGCAAGAAATGCTTTTGGTCAATGCTGATATGATACAGAAACGTTTTTCTTACCATATTCAATTTCATGAATCAATGATTCCTCGAGCATTGTTTTGGGAATTTTGAAACATTTGGCGTTCTTTGTCTTTTCTTTATTTTTTTCCCTCACGTCTTGAATGGTTGCCGTTTCGCCAGTTGCGACAACCATCGTACTAACAGGTGACTTGCTTGTTTCCGGTATGTCAATGACTGTGAGAATCATGTTTTTCGTTTCCTAAGAATTAAGAAGGGCTGTTTCAGGGCTACTTATAGCATTAACACTTCCCGTGACTGCGTCCTACCATGCAGCGTGACCTTGATGAAAAGTTTAAGTAACTACAAACAGTAACGCTCCTAAAGCTTACTTCTTGGACAATATTTTCAAAACCAAATTGGCCTAAGTACATTATTAAAAATAAATGAGAAATGATACTTAACAGTTGAAATATACCTTTGTTCCAATAGTTGCAAAAGATGCAAATTTATTGCAGGTAATTCCTATAGCCGGAACGAATTTCCCTTTCACCATTACATTAACACACGGATTTAACCATGTCAGGATCTAATATGAATAAAAGTTATTATATAACACGTTATTAAATAAATAGTTATAATTCATTTTATCACACAGTGGATAAACTGCATAATTTTATCAATAGATTATGCGATTGAAATCCGAAAGGGTAGTGCAAGGCGGATCCGATAAAAATTCCAGATCGCTATTCGTATTTTTATTATCATGAGGACAAAAATCTTCAAAAGAAGTTATTATACAGTTTTACGAGCTTTTTCGTTGCAGCTTTGGTTTAAAAGAATAAAAATTTTAATGATACTGCCCCTTAAAAAAGAGACAATAAGTCAACATGTCATGAGCATGCAACAACAATTTTATCATACAAACCGCGACTCTATCTTCCAGTGCCTGTCAGATTTCTGTCACCAAACGGGTCCAAAACGACGATTCTTTTTCAGTGCTCTCTTTCAAAGAGCCATATTTGACCATGTGTTGAATACTTTCTTTCAAATGCTCTTCATGAACATGACCAATGGCAATCCTATGGAACTGAATCACCAGAAAAATATATTACAAGTAGTGGTCCGCTAGAAATTATTTTTCCCTCATAAAAAATGAAGATAAACAAGGATGATGTTAGTGAGCATGAGTGAATATATTTATTGAGCATGCCAATCTTTCAAGTATCATACAGAAGTAATTTACCATGGCATCTGTGCAAAGAATTCCAGCCACACCTTTGTGCCACCTTGGTTGTTGACCAGAAACTAACTCTGTAATGACCTTTTTGTAAATTTTGTACAATCTCGGACATTCATTGATCCATGTCTCTCCAATCATTGTGACCCAAGCTATTAAAAAACCCTATATAAAAATATCGATTTTTAACTATTAACTGTGAATGTATGCATTCTATTACTAATGTAAGTCTGCCGTGAGCATGACTACATGACTGAGTAATGTAAGCATGACATTCTACCCATGCAACTAGAAAATTAATGATATGACAAGCACAGCTGTATTTTAAAGTCACATAATTTTTTATATAGAATTGTAGGCATTGGGGAAATTTTATCTTTTGGATCACTAGTCCTCACCAACAATAATAATATTTTCGATGGTATAATATTGTAATGTTAGCAATAACCTTACCTTTACATAATAAATCAATAATTTCATTTAAAATATATTAAAAATCGGACTTAATAAATTAAAAGATTCAAAACTGACCTTGAATTCTGTAACCAGCCTTACTAACTCGTTTCCTAATTGATGCTCGTTCTCACTTGAAAAGTTTTCGTCATATACGTGGTTCATAACTATGCATTTGCCAAATATTCTAAAAGATAGAGTTGACATCGTTATATTTGACTCTTACTCTCCGCGCACGTTTTCTTTTATTTGCGTGTGTCAACACCAACATGATCTCTTTCCCAAAATTAAGGCCTGCTATGTCTTAACCCTTTAACGCACAGTGTCCGATATATCGGACACCTTGAGCCTGTATTCATTTTGACCCCCTGATACCTCTGTCAGGGACTGCATTATACTTCATGTTATTCAAATGTTTCGATACTGTCATGGCGCACATTTTGAGATATTATTGAACGAATTATGCCTTTTGAAACGATTTTTATGAAAGAAAGAAGATCTGTCCCTTTAAATAATGGCTGTAACGTGAGTAAACAATGTTTATAATGCAAGGATAAGTGTATATTTCATGTTACATTAGCTTTTTTCGATCGAAATTATAATACAATGTTTGATTGGGAGTGCTTGGATAGTTCTTGTGAATGCTGAGCCGAATATTGTTATCAATCAAACATTTCTAGGCAGTCAAGTGCCTCGATAAATCATTTTGAAATTTTGGGCGTATTGATAATATAGAAAGTGGCTTAGAAAATGTAAATATTGTATATGATAGGGAGAATGCACTTCATGACATACATTTTCCAAAACTGAATGGCAAATGAGCTAAGATATGTCAAAATGGAACTCCAAAGTACATCTATATTTCAACCAACCTATATTTGACTACTATTGCACAATACGTATCCAGCAATAAGTGACAAAAATTCTGATAAAACAATAATTTGCTGTGATAAAGTTATATACCAGATGAAAGCTCATGTAATGCACTTTTCATCATAATGAATAAAATAATTTTAGAAGTCAATTATGTTGACTTGTCTGCACCTAGAGACCGGACTTCTTGAACAATCATCACTGTTATCGAGCATGAAAGGGTGCACTGTTGCCATGGAAACTATTATGTATGCATATGAGTTGCATATTTACAATCTGTGTTATTTAAGCTTCAATTTGATATACAATTTGATGTATTTGTGATAAATGTCTCAGACATAATTTATTTTCTTTTCCACTTATTGGAAAAACAGCATTTTTCCAAAAATAAATCTATGCAGCAAAGGGTTAATTGTAAAAATCTCCAAAATTTATACCATAATTTAACAAATCCGCAACTACCACAAGCATTAAACAAGTCGTTTTGGTATTGAAGTAATCACCTTAGGGCTATAGTAAGATTGGGGTCGGATTAAGATTGGGTTCGGATTAGGTTTAGATTCGATTAGGGTTAGAGGTTGGAAGGGGGTTGGGTGGGGATAGCTTTCAAACTAAGGCAATGCCTTAATTTGACACTTTCTGGCGTTAGGGCGTAGCCTTAATTCTGGAAAGAGACCATGCTGGCTACACGCACAAAGATCATAAAAACTAAAAAGACGACTAAGGACGAGTCAGTAGCAGACCCCTCGAGGTGGGTTGCCATTATCCTTGATTCTGACAATTGAACATTCTTGTACCCAGATCCCTTCTTACGCACGGTCAACGGAGCGCGACGATGAGCTCTGGCCAGATCCATAACCGGATATCATAAAAACATGGTATGAAAACAATATTTGGTGTTTGAATTAGCCAATCAGATGCCAATTCGAATATGGATTTGGCTAGAGCCCCTCATCACACCGCAACTTCCCAAGCCAGGGTCTTTTTAATACTACCACACGCGAGCGCGGGTAAAAGCAAGGAGGCTTGCTCCACAGAGGATCGCGGGCTCTGGTTTCGAGATTGGGGTAAAAAACACTGGCTTGCGAAGTTGGTCGCACCGCGTGTAAGAAGGGCTCTGGGTACGAGAATGACAATTGAACAATTACATAGTTGTGTTACATTTATACTTAGCGCCATAAAATTATAAACAATTATCTTGTAAGTTAAATGTCCGTACGTCATCATTTTTTAGTACATACTCTACATAGCCAAAACTAGTCTTAATTTTTGGGCCATGAAAGGACTTGAAAGATCTGACCAACAATTAACATATCACACATTGCGCCGTTTGTTTTTAAGGTTTAATTTTGTTTAAAAGACAGCCTTACTTGAAATAACTTCGGAGATGCATAAAACTCATGTTACTGAATACTGTATACTTTGAATCAGTTTTCTGCTTTGAAGTAACTCGTCAACACTTCATATAATTTACGTCATATAGAAACATATTTTCTAGCAAAATTATAAAAAACCTTAGTCAATGGCAATTTTGATAATGTAGTTGCAAATTTACCGAGGATAATATCAGGGTTAGTACCTTTCACTCTCTCTAGAATTTGAGCTGAGTAGCATATTGCCGATAGGAACCGAAAATCCCGTTCGAAGTGATCCCTGTGGAAGTCTAGATTGTACAGCCACTAGAAACTCGTTCAATGGACCAGTGAAAATCGGATCATCCACCGCCGCAAGATTTGTCATCAACACTTTTCTATAAAACAGGACACTTCACCATAGGCAATTTCATGTTCGTAAGTAAGTTTGAAATTACTCAATTCGGGCAGAACACCATGTAGATTCATTTCTACATAAATACAGTTGTTAAGAGTATATGGTATTCTCCACAAATTTACTAATTTCAAGTCTAAATCATCAAGCAGATATTCAAATAGTGCATTTAAATTTGTATTTTGATCTGAATAGTCATGCATATATTTTTAAGTGATTATAATTTTATGCTCGTCAGTTATGTTAAAACGATCTTTTTCTATTGTAGTATAGATCTTGCTGTCAATTTAGCAATTCAGCATCCTTCATTCATTAAATGTTGAGAGCTTTCTTCATTATTTAACTGCTGGTCAACAAATCACTGCTAGTAATAATCAAACTTTCATTGATAACAAATGTGTGAACTCTATCACGCAACTGAAAACTTTCATGGGGTGTTCAAAGATTCCGGCGACTGAATGTCCCACTGGTGTGTTGATCACCTCCAGAACAGAACAACGGATTCGTGCTTGTGCTGATTCCTTGCCCTAATGCCAAAATCTTCATGGATAGCATTTTGCCCACATTTCTGTTTTTCATGGTCGAGAACAGAATACCTATGGAACCTTCATCTAAAATAATTTTGAATTACAACAAACAACGTAAATGAATATTTTATTTTATCAGCTAAATCCTGAAAAAGAAAACAGTTAAACTAAAGTTTGAAAGATCATAACATTTTAACAATTATTTGTCGAAGGTGAGGTGATTATCGGGTCCCGATAATCACCGAGCCTGATGCGAGTAAGTTTTTTTGTGTTTTTCTGGTCTGAATTTATTTTAAGTCTGTATCACTAACTTCAACAAAAGTTACAAAACGGATAGCCGGCATGAATATGACAGATTAATACGTCAAATTTGACCAATCGGCACCTTGTAGGATTTGTTACGTTTACTTGTACAAAAAATACTAAATCCATTTGAAATGCTTTTTTTTGTAACCTATTAATATGTAACCTATAAATTTGAAATGCTTTTTTGTAACCTCATATTAGTAGTCTATCTGTTAAGTATGGCTCAATATATATTTACAATGGCAATGCTGATAATGCTAAAATAATAATTTATAAAGTTCACCTAAGAATTTCTTCTCATGCTCGGTTTGCAAGATGGATTTGAGATTGTTGTACACAACAAAGGCAGCAGCAAGTAAAAACGGCGTCTTATTAACACAGAAGTTCTCAGCTAATTCAACATACCTAAAACAAAAAAATACCATTTGAGAATTTCGGGATTGGCCGGGATTTAAGATGGCGTTTTAAAAATGCATATACATGTACAAATGAGCTGAAAAAGTAACTTTATCACTATGTTCGCACCTTCTACAAATCGTCTTCAGAAGGTCTTCCTTTAGAACATCGTGATTCAAGTCCGTTGACAGAGAATACAAATTTGGCTCTGTTAGAAAATATTTATGTTCTGCTCGTTGAAGGACATGTCGATCCTCAATATGAATCTAATGCATAAAACATTAATTGATGATTTGTTCACATCATCATGAATCATGAGAAACATCTGTGGTGTTTTAGTTTATTATAATTGATAGGGAGTAATACTGTATGCCTAATAAGCAAAAATTTCTGTTATGGAATTAAAGGTTCCTAGTGTGTACTGCTCAATGCAATGGCGTTGGGGATGTGATGACCCCCGCCCTAACGGATATTTCTATATTTTCCTAAACTAGAAAACTTCCCTCCAATGAGAAATGTCAAAGTGTAGAGCCGTTGGCACAATAATGACAATCGTTAATTGTTGTTAAGTGCATTATCAGACTGAACTCATGCCGGGTTCGTCCATTATGCAGTTCTACTGATAAGAGAGCTTAAGGTTGTACGTGAAAGAACGTACGTGATGAGAAAAATATCGCATTTCCAGCTCTATGTTATGTGCCAGTGCAGTTTCCCTAAACGTGAGTGACCAACTATATATTTAAAACTAAATTTGCATATGACCGGCTGCGCTTACGTCACATGATAAAATCCAATATCCTTTTTCTTGGTACCCCAAATGATCAGCCTTATAAAAATCACATTGGTTATCAATATCTTCTTTAACTCATTAACGCCCAAGCTGTTACAATGTTTCTACCCCCCTAACGTGCAAGCAATATGGCAAATACGTGACTGAATTCAAGAGCTTTCACCAAAATGGCAATATCTCAGAAACAGTTGCATGAAAAAATCTGGTCTTTTCAACCAAATATTATTAATATATGATTGACCAAATTTAGTTTAAATGAACTTGCATACCTATATATATCATTAGTTTTTTCAATGAGAATTTTTATTTGTAAACCAGTGACACTATTTTTTTCATGTCACTCATCACCTAAAGGGGCAATATCTCCATATATTTATATAAAAAAACCCAAAAAAATATTTACTAAATTAGTACATATCTATATTATAACCAATTTTCATCTATTGGGATATGAATTAGAAAATGATCAAAAATTACAAAAAATACTCCTTTGCTTTTTTGGGCAAGATGTTTACAACATGAAATTTAGAACAGTAACTAAGTGTTAAAATTCAACAAAGTGTGCAAGCCAAAACACAGTGCTTGTACATCTTTGGAGTTTTTAATTACCTCAAATATATTTATAAGGACATATGGTACTAGAATCTATTTGTTTTCAATATAAACCAAGGATGGGAAGGTGAGAAAATAGGAGTTTCTGAGGTGTTTTTAACACTGACAATGACAGCCGACATTTTCAAAGGCAAATTGCGGTGACAAAACCAAAAGTTATTCACTTCTCTACTCAAAGCACTGAAAAACACCATAAAAGAAAAAACATTTAAAACATACATCAGGTAAGCCTTTTAGCTCAATTTTCTCATGTTTCTGTTTGGAAAGAAACGGTTTTTAGCCAAAATTATTTTGCGCGCCAATGTAGGCTGCTATAAAATGTCAGACACGTGCTCTCTTTTGAAGTCTGGCTCTGAAAAACAATCGCTTTTTTTTAGTTTGAAATAAGCTTTCATTAGGACTAATTGTGTAGAAATGTTATCTGTATGCTCAAATGAAAAAGATAACCTAATAGTCAGGTATTCAACATAGCTATAAAAGGGTGAAATAAGGACTTTCATCTTTGGTTGTTTGTCAGACATGAGAAACCACATTAGTGCCATTTTGTCGCGCGTGCTATTTTATAAAATAAACACCTCAAAACCATAAACTTTTAGTTCAGAAAATTACAAAGTTTCCCATAGACATTATTAAAAATGTTCTAGTGAAACGATTTCATGATAAATAAGTGAGCAATGGGCCTGAAAGGACGGCTAAATTATGTTTTTGTTGGGACTTCAGTTTCATGGCTTCCCGCAAAGGAAGCCATTTCAGAGAGAAGCGACAACAACGGCAAACAACCGTCGCGACCTATTTTGATAACTTTTCCTTCTGATTCAACATGTAGTTACTAGAAAATGAGGGTGGATCAACATTACTATCTGCCTTATCGATTTAAAGTTTTATGGGGATATAAAACCCAATACAAAAAGCATTTTAAAAGCTTTAGAACTCAAGTGCGGACTTTTTGAGAATTCGCACGCAGCAACCAAGCGCATTAATTCAATACACTTATTTTAAACCACAATATGTCTGAAACGAGTTGTCATTTTAAGACTAAATTGATGAAAATAGATATAACAGTGATTTTGGAGTACCCTACTTACTTAGTGTAATTTAATACTCGAAGTATTCTTGCCAAATAGGGCACGTACGCACACAGTAATTTAATCTGGTGTTGTTTGAAACATACTTAGCTAAAATAACAACTTGAACAAGAAGACCAACAATGGGGTTACGAAAGCAGTCGAAATTGTGCCCAAATTTGCATAAACAGTTCGTCTAAAAAGATAACTTTAAACTAGATTCAACCAACATTAATGCAGTCGAATTTTGTGAGTGTTTGATCGCATATTTCTACCCAAAAATACCCTTTAAAAAATCGTATCTGCTCACTTGTGTTCCGTGTTCATCTTTCTTGTGATTTCCGACTTCTATTTTTAATAAAGTTTGGAGAAATCCTCATCTTTTTGGCTGAAAATCTCGCGCATGGTTCACAGAAAAACTTAGCCCCAAAACGCCAATACATTCGCTTTCCTTTCATGCCAAATTTTCGTTGTAGTTGATTCAGAAACCTCTTCTTTTCTTGCTTTTAAAACTTGCTGTAAATTCTTTCTTTGTAACAGAATCGCCATTATTCATTATTTTTGGAAAACTAAGATTTTAAACTTGAAAAACTTTGCGAGTTTCTGACCGATTTTCTTGCATGATACACCGCTGAAAAGCTCGAATTTCACGTTCTATTTTCGTATCCGTTGCTAGGCAACCCGATAAACACGTGCTCAAATATCATGCCCGCAAGTTAAGGTGTCATGCCAGGGCGCATTGTCCGTTACCCACTTGTCAATCTCAGGGCGCATACGGGCGCATTGGGCGTTAATGAGTTAAGGTACGTGTAAAAATCGCTTATGGTGCTTGATGTCACCCAACCACTAAGATTTAGCACACCAGAACCTATAGAGCATCTAAGGTCTGTCAGAAACTTTGTCTTGGAGTCAAATGCGCTTGCAGAAAGAACGACACGTCTAAAAGGGAAATTAAGGCCTATGATTAGATTTACGGTCAGATTTAAAATTAGAATCAAGATAACTTGTAACATTAGTTTTTGGAAAACACATATTTCGTGTTGAGTTGCATAAAGCAGATATTAATGAAAGCGAGATTCTTTCGTAAAACGCATTCATCCTACACTGCGTGGTTGTTTTAGCAGTTTCTTGATAATCATCTTTTCAACTAGAAAATACATGCATGCAGAAACCCTCGCCTTCCTGACAAGACCATTGTATTTTCCGAACGTGAAGTTCTAAAGTAGTTGTCATGGTAACACGATAATTCTTTAAGAATATTCTTACAAATGAAAAATCGCCTAAAAATATCACTTTTAATTACAAAATTATTAATTTCCCAACATATATATGTTAGGTATGTTATTATACGTAATTACAAATGAAAAATCGCCTAAAAATATCACTTTTAATTACAAAATTATTAATTTCCCAACATATATATGTTAGGTAAATAAGCCTCAATATAAGGTAAAATTCAACCACAAACGCTTCGCAAAACATTTTAAAGTGCTGTTTAACTAAACTGCCTTTAATTAAATGGCTTTATCGATAAACTTTGAGTTGCAATAAAATGATTTCAAATTCTCGCTTGCAAATAACTTTGCTTTCTTTTTTATTTAAATAATTCAATATAATAAAAAAGTGAATCAATATTAAAGATACACTGAGCGAAATTATATTCTGTCTTGTTTAGTTGTTTCATATACGCAAAGGCCGTCGGGTTTTAAAGCCATTATAAAATCAATATTTAAAACAAACTTACCTTCGTTAACGTCGGCTCCCTTCTTTTAGCCGATTCTTCCGAAGTTTCTTTCTGAGAGAGCTTTTGAAATTTACAAAATATTGCAAAAATGCGAGTAAAAATGAAATATATTCGCAAGAAATTTATCAATTATGAATCATCAAATCTAGAAATGTTTGCTATTTCGCTGTCGTCATGCAGTCGTTATAATGCAAACTTTAAATTGGACCAATCAGTGTCCGCTATTCATGACAGTCCGCCATATTTTTGAGGTCAGTGAGGATGACCACCCACCCAACACCGTTGGTGACCCACGCCCGCGATATTTGATGAACTTTAGACTCCACTAATGCTTTCGTTTCTCCGGGTGTAAATAGCCGGGGGGAATTAGTACCCTCGCACGGCGCTTCGCGCCGTCGGCTCGGGGAAAATAACGTCAACCAGTGCTGCCAATGCTATTATATAATAATTAAGCTAATATGGTTACAAATAAATCAAGCAAAAAAACATACATGGTAAAAGGGACGGGATACATTTGTAAAACTCTGTAGTAAATTTATTTATTCATTACGGACAACCGCCTACTATCGCACTGCGTCTTAAATACTTGAGTCTTGACAGCGAGGCTCACAGGTGACAGGACATAAAAGTATTCACAACGTAACAACTTATCAGAACAGAAAGGTATATTTTGAGCACACTAACAGTGTATGTTTTCACGGTGTCTTTTCCTTATCGTTTTCTACTGTTTTAAGGTGTGGTCATTATTTATGGGGAGGGGGGGGAGGGTTTGGGAAATGGGGAAAATAAGGATTGAAACCTTTTTTGACCCCCTCCCCTCCAGACTGAAGGCAAACTTTGTGCCTCCCCCTCATAAAAGTAGAAACTTTTCTGACCCCCCCCCAGTGTGGATTGAAAAATTAACAGCAATGAAGGTAAGGAAGCGTTGCAGATAAAGTTAGATATTAGGACAATCTGTTTAATCTAGCTCATGATGTTTTACCCTGGTGAATATGATTCAACCATATATGATTAAAAAATATATATTATGTGTTACTACTTTGCAATGCAACATTTGTCTTACCATAACCCTAACCCATGACCCGTCTTCATACAGCGAAATGATTTTAACAGTTTTTTTTTAAGAACTTGTCTGGGGTGTGGCATCTACAAAAAGGGACCATACTATATTGAGTGTGGAGAAATGACAGATGGTTGTTGGTGACAAAACGTTTGGTGTGGTATCGTATGTACTAGTAGGGGGTCTGGGGGTATTCTCCCCCAGAAATTTATTTGTATTTTCCACCCCTAGAACTGAAATGTGAGCATTTTCTGAAACAGATTTTTGGATATACAGCATTACATTGTGCGTTGATAGACCGAATCTGATCAGTTAACTTAAGTGTACTTGCATGGTATGTTTATGTAAATACCACAACTTGGTCACTCAGGGGTAGAAAGCTTGTTAAACTTAAGCCTGGTTCACATATATGCCTGTGACGTACCGGCGACAATGCCGGTGGTAGCTTAAAATTATGTGAATATTTGTTCGCCGATTGCCTCCAGTGCCACAGTTATATCGGTGGTAGGCCGGGAACTACGGTTGACTTGAGTTCAACTTTGCCGGTATTTCGGCGGCCAGTAGAGGCATAATGATACAGTCGCAGGCATATGTGAACCAGGCTTTAGTGAGCCCGACTCCCACGATCGCGAGGCGCTACCATGGTTGGCGCCGAGCAGGGAAATTTTGAAAAGTTTGAGTCTCTAGATCGTTGGAAATAGCATTTTCAGAGTCTTTAAGTTTAAAAACTTTTATGACCCCCCTTTTCTGTGTTAAAACTTTTTTGACCCCCCCTATTTATAAGGGTAAAACTTCGTTTGCCCCCCCTCCCATTTCCCAACCCCCTCCCCATAAATAATGACCACACCCTAAACTCTCTTGGAACATAGGATAGGAAACGGATATGAAAACAACATTGTGTAAACATAGCCCAAGTCGCATACTTTGTGTCCAGCTGCGAGTGGGTGTTTGATGTACAAACACAGAGCCAGTGTCCAATGCTGTCGGTTGTCTTTGTCTGTGAAGTTTGGCCAGCTATTGTTTCAGTCCAAAATCAATGGTGAGCAGAATGACATACACTGCTTAATTTTCGGTATATTTAAAAAAAGTTAAATAAATAGGTCACTCTACCTGCTCATGATTCTCCAATTCAATATTTTCGTTACTTTCATCCATCATTCCAGAGTATTAAGTAAATAAAATCAAAATGCTTTTTTGGTCCCTCTTCGATCGAACTAGAAAGACTATCGAACGCCGAATGCAGCTATGGGTGGGCGTGCAACACGAAATGGCTTTGTAATTTAATATTTTAGTCAACTTTTGTCAAAAATGTTTGACTTTATGCAACAATCGAGGAATTCCGTCTGTCGGATTAGAATTCCGTATCTTGCATCTGGCGCCGTATTGCCGATAAGGCAGAGAAAATGTTGCATGCAAAAGACTTTTCATCGATCATTTCGTGCTTTAGTGGCTGACTGGCTAGGACTTGAAAAATTATGCAAGAAGAACCGAAAAAAAAACCCTCTGGCAGTAAACGAGGCAAAGGATCATGTACAGGTTGTGGAGAAGAGTATGCTTGTCGATACAAGCCTGAAAAATGTAGTAAATGCGGCTATGATTTAGGCGGATCGTTCAAGCCAAAGAATGCGACACGCTCGAAAAAATGCAACCCTGATGTCGTTCGAGTCACACCCAAAATATTTTCAGTGAAAACCAGCAAGAAAGATGATCGGTGTTTTGTTGTGAGAGAAGGAAATAATATTATATGCTTGCACAAAGACTGTAAGGAATTAAGGGCAACATATTCGGCAACTGGTAGCTTACATACATTCAAATGCAAGCATGTGAATGACATAGACAATTTTCCAACAGCCAACCCACTGAATGTCTATTTTCTTGACGAAGAAATAATTTTAAATTATTTGGGGGATTCATCTGCTAAAAAAACTCTAAGTGATCTACTAGATATCAGTCCTGCAGACCATCCTTCCGTTTCTCGTGTCACAGACTCTTCCTATGTAGTATTTGGATGACCCTCTGCAACCAATACGGTCGGATACTGCCATGTTCAAGTAATTTCGGATGAAAATAGAGTTTATAAATGCACAAGTAAGAGTTGCCGAAGTTTTGTTAGTAAAACGAAGCAGGAAAAAATTCGTTCAACGTGCCAACATTTGCATTTGTTGTACTGTCTCCTGCATGGAAATAATGATAGGAGAATCGAGGAGTCTTCAACAACAATAACGAATCAAAATGAACATCAAACAACTGTTTCCCAAACAGCATGTTTTAGCAGGCAAACTACTTTGGATGTGGCAATGAATTCATCCCTGCCGTATAAAATTCCTTCCTCGCTACTGCAGGAGATATCGAGAAGAGACGCTACAACATTTTTAAATATTAATATTGATGCGGCAACTGGATGGCCTAATGCATTCGAACCTATTGAAGTTATCTGTGTTCAATGTCAGTCTCCTTTATCAACAGCAAGACAGCACCCTGGTCAGAGCCGTGACGAAAGTGCTTACCTTTTGACGGAACTTAACCCATTTAAGAGAGTTAAGCTGTTGGTTAAAATTTGCAGCAGTCCACTCTGCAAGGCAATGCATCGACCCCCTACACTTGAAACAGGTAGGAATACATTAATTGCCATTTATATTTTACTTTATGATGCATCCTTGGCAACACATGTCATATATCAACTGAATGTCATACAATGTTTCTAGGTTTTAAAGTAAATTAAAAAATACATAAGTCATAAAAAAGTAAAGCCTGATTCACTCTGCCTTTGTAATACAATTGCCATGTAGAAGCAGCCATATCACTAGCGTTTCATTACGAACTATCGGAACTGAACTGACTTGTTTTTGAATCGATGTGTTTCCTATTGTTATAAAAACTATAAACTTAAATTTAATGAATATGAAATGGGAATGGACCTTTCACCTTTTGACCAAAATTTACATCTCAACAAGTCTAGACAAAAATTTTATCACAGCTTGAAAGAGCACCACAAAATTAGTAATATTCCAAAGTTTCGTTGCGAGTTGTAAAATGCGGAAAATATAGCCTTGCGAAGTTTGCCGTTTTTCAGTCATTTTGTATTACAAACTGGAAATACATACTCCTGAGTATGTATTTCCAGTTTGTAATCTAACATGACTGAAAAACGGCAAACTTCGCAAGGCTATATTATCCGCATTTTACAACATTTCGCAACGAAACTTTGGAATATTACTAATTTTGTGATGCTCTTTCAAGCTGTGATAAAATTTTTGTCTAGACTTGTTGAGATCAAAATTTTAGTCAAAAGGTGAAAGGTCCATTAAAGTGTAAAAATTCATGTCTGCTTTCCACTTATAGGCTTATTCAATATATGTGATAAAATCGTCATTTCTTTGGATATATTGCTGGAAATGAGACTATTTTTCAAACGCGGATATGCCATAACCAACATCATCGACGCCAAATTAGATTCTCTCAAATTGAAGGCACAACAGGTGAGTGACAGTGTACCTGTTAACTGCACTGTATATGACCTATGGAGAACATAAATACAGTGACAGCGCTAGCATTGATACCAGGTCTTGACAAATAATAATAGTCTATTTAATACGTACTAGATAAAACATGAGCAGCCCATCTGTATCTGATATACAAACTCTCGCCTTCGCCCCTTTGGCTCGAGTTTGTATATCAGATACAGACCGGATGCGAATGTTTTATCGTACTTAAAAAATTACCCATTTTATGAGTTCATTCGCGAAGTAATTTTAAAAATAAACATTGTCTAAGCCGAGAAAATCAAAGCTGAAGTTTATGTAAATCAGGACAAATCTGTATCCGATTTACAAACATTGATTAAACATTCATTTCTTTGGTATTTTCCTCGTGAATTATTGAATATTTTAAATATAAAGAATGATACAATGGTGCGAGGAAATATAAAATGTATTTCCACTATTGAATAGACCCATTGGATAATAACGACATGTATGCTACTTGGCCTGGGAGACTCACTTCATTACAAGTATAAAGTCGTGGTACTTAATCAACTCACGATTAATGAGAGCGAGGCTCTCAGGCCAACACCACATGACGTTATTACCGAAAAGGTCTTTTGGATATCTATAATCGATGAGATTTCCACGCGAGCAACCATATATATTTCTGTATACTTTTATATAGTAAAACGTTTAATTCACACATGCATTTCTTGCTTAAAATACCAGCATTTTTATCTTTATAACTTTGCCTGTTCCAATTCTTTCTGAAAAATGCTACTATTTGCACGTGCATAATCATACATAATTGTTAATTTCAGGCGAATCTGCCATCTGAGACCCAGCTGCATTATTTGAAGAAATGCCTTTACAATGGCTATTATTACTTTGAAGCGATTACCGAGGGGGACTTGAACACCGTCATTTGTGGGATTTGTGGAATTTGCCCCGAGGTTATTCTTGGTGATGGAAATGAAAAAAACTGTTGCACTAACAAACAGGTACAGACACAGCATACACTTAACCTAAATTAACAAGACGCTGTATAGAGCGTTAACTCGCTGGGACTATACAAGCTAGTACGCACAATAATGATGATACATACATAGAAAACAGGTACAATTCGTTGAAAATTTTAACGAAATTGTTTGAAACATTTTGGACACTCCACGAAAGGCCGCCATTTTGAAAAAGATATATTGGGTTTTATACTTTTACTAGGCAGCTCATATTCTATTTTGTGCCTATCGACGACGATTGGAGATCGGAGATCCACTATTGCCGATCCGTGAAAAATGCATGCCAAAACCTATATACAACTATGCCCCAGCGAGAAATGTTGACACTCAAATGTACAAAGTAACCATTCACTTTTCTAGATTGATTATGTCAAATCTGACAGTGCAACTCTTCCTTCCCAAGTTAAAACTACTGATGCATTTAAAAATACGTTAAAGAGAAGATGGTTGGAAAGGACGGTATTCACAAGATGCACGGAAAATATCCAGATACCAGTGTCTGTTGTACCACCAATTATGCCATCAGCTTTGATGGGTCCAATAGTACACAACACTGAAGATCAAAAGAAAAGTAGTCCAGTCCCAGACCCTATTCTCGCCACACGGCGCGGCGGAGAAGGAGGGTCCAGAAGAATTTGCATGCGCATGCGTCAACTACCACCACACATATGTGGAGGTCGCCAGGTCGCTAAGCTCTGTTTACTGTGGGGAAAATCCGCAATGTCAAAGGAAAGTTCTGATACTCTTGCAGCGCTGATTGAGAACAAGTTTCTTCATATTTTTGGCAGAGAATTTGTTGAAGCCGTTAAGTTTGCCATGGAAATGTGTAAATATAATTTTTTGCCGAAGTTTGAGCAATTGCAAGCGATCTATTACCTGTCTCGCGGTAAAGATGTATTCGTTCATCTGAGAACTGGTTTCGGAAAGTCGCTGATTTACACGCTCTTTCCATATGTTTGCGATAGCTCTGCGATCGTCACCAAACAACGATTGCCGTTCATCTATCGTCGTTTTGATTTCACCACTAATTTCCCTCATGGATGATCAGATGGCTAAAATGGCCGAACGAGGAATACATAGCGTCAAGCTCACCGATCTTAAAGACCGACAAGTTGAGGACCTTCGACGTGGAAAATCGAACATCAAAATCGCTTTGTTATCCCCTGAGGCATTTACCAGTTTGACTGTAAGGGAGACTCTGAGGGAACTGAAAGAGCATATTGTTTGTGTGGCAATTGATGAGGCACATTGTGTACTACAATGGTAGGTCTATGCTAGATATTTTAATAATTTAATAAATAAATTAGCCAAAGTGCTTTCCCTTGACTACAGAGCCTCATTCTATTGCAAGAGAATTTGGCTAATTGTCATATGTTTATACTAAGTTTTAAAGGATTATTGAAATTATTGAAAATGTGGCGAGATAACCAACGATTGGATAGGGCAAAATTTTTTTACACTTTGGTTCATCACGTTATATAATTAGCCTTGCAAATAAGTAACTTTATACAGTAACCTACTCTGAACTCACTTGATTTATTTTAAGGGGCAGAGATTTCAGAAGCGCTTACAATGAGTTAAAAGACATCCGTGCTTTAATGATGGCTGGATTACCTATAACTGCACTTACAGCCACTGCTAATTGCAAAACAATGAACTACATCACTGCTAAATTGGATATGGAAGGTTGTATTGTTATCAAATCATCTACAAACCGACCCAACATATTTTATAAAGTATGTATCCTTCCTAACTGTCAAGGGGATGATGATCAACTATTCCAATCCTGCTTTGGTTTTGTTGTTGAACAACTGTTGCAGCACAATGACAAAGCAGATAAAGTGATTATATACTGTACCTCAACTAATGATTGTGCTACCATTTACGAGTTCTTTGAAAATGCCTTGGGAAGCAATATTTATGATAACGCTAACCAATTATTGGTTAACATGTATGTAAAAGTTATGGATGATAGAACAAAAAAGGACATCATAGCGAAGTTTACCAAACCAGATGGTCCACTTAGAGTTGTTGTTTGCTCATCAGCATTTGGACTGGGGGTTGACTGTCCCAATGTGAGAACTGTTGTTCACTTTAAGTCTCCAGATACACTCATGCAATTTGTACAGGAGAGTGGCCGTGTCGGAAGGGATGGAGAAGCATCAAAGTCTCTACTGTTTGTTGGTGGAAGGGAGTTTGGTCATTATAAGGCTAAACTTACTAAATCGTCTGCCATGAAAATGCAATTTGACGAACTTGAAACAATGAAAGGGTATGCTATGAATACATCAACTTGCAGACGATTTTTGATTTTACACTATTTTGATGGTTCAGATGAAGCAGAAAAACAGTGCAAGCTAATGGAACCACAGAATTGTTGTGATGTATGTTTTAGAAGTGCTGGTGGGTTTGTAAGTACATCTGAGAAAGAGTTACGTTGTCTATCAATTGGAAAAACTGCAAATAAAGAAGTTGTTATTTACCCTCAACTATCTGGGAAGCAAAAAAGTGAAGTTCGACAACATTTGACAAAATATAGAGATGGTCTTGTGGCATGCAAGGAAACAAGCTTGTTTGGAGTTGACAAGGTAACTGGTTTCACTGAAACTGTTATTGAACAAGTTATTAGTAAATGTGATACTTTCTACTCCATCAAAGATGTGCATGATAATGTTGATTTATGGGGTGAAGACCATGCTATTGCCATTTTTAATATTGTTGAAAGTGTAAAAAATGTTAACACTAACCCCGTTTGATAAGATATGTTATCAAGAGCGTAAATAGGTCGATAATTGGAGGGCCATCTTCATATATTCGTGTTCTGCACAATTAATTTCTTTTAAAATCGATTGTTTTTACAGTCTGTGAACACGAATATATGAATATGCCCCCCCCCAATTATTGACCTATTTACGCCCTTGTATGTTATAATATCTATGGTACATATCTCTGCTTATTGGAGAACAAATGACAACCAATAACAACCAGTTAATAAATTGTCAACCTTCATTATCACTTTCATCTTGTTCATCAACTGTTTGGTGACTCTTGGAGAATCTTTTCACCAACCGTTGTACCCACGTCAACACCTTTCCCATATCTAAATCCTCAAGTATGGACTTAGCATGGTCTGGAAAGGCCTTGTGTTGTCTTCCTGCCCGGAACTGAAAGACATTAATCTTTTGCAAATCATATAACATGTTTTCAACATCATTTTCTGAACTGAGTTTTGTGTGGGTCTTGCATTGTGGATTGACTCCACATTCTTGGTCAAAATTCAGAACAACAGCATCCAACTTTTGTTGTGCTTTCACAACTTTTTGTGAATTTTTTTCATCCATCTTGCCTCCTATTCCAGAAAGAAGTTCTTTTGTCTTAGATCGGAAGAGCTCTACTCTCATATCACATGCGATGTTCTTACCATGCCCTCCAGAAGTATTTACAAATCTTCCCCATTTTAGTTTATGTGCCATACGAGGTGTCAAGAGTGATTCAAGAAGTGCAATGTACCGAAAAGCTTCAAAAGCATATTTTGTCCTGCTCCCCTTTCGTCTAACTTTCGCCTTGAATATTAACAGGAGTAGCTTCCATATTCTTTCTTCCCTATCACCATCCCCTTCACGTATTGCATCTTCAAATTCTTGAAACACTAAGCCAAGAGACAACATTGAACATGCATAGTTGTAAACACAGTCCTCTTTAGTATTTGGACCATTTGAAGTTGTTGTAGTCGTTTGACCATCTATCCATGGAAGGTATGTGCGGTTTCTACCAAGTATTTGGACCATTTGAAGTTGTTGTAGTCGTTTGACCATCTATCCATGGAAGGTATGTGCGGTTTCTACCATGATTAAGTCCATCTAGGAAAACCATTATTATCCGGTTTTCCACTAGGCAAATTTGTTTGCACAAACAAGCAAAAAGCGAATGTGATTGGCCGGTGATGTCGTCAGTGTTTGTCCCCAGCCAATCAAGTTGCTTCTTTCTCTGTTTGCGCGAACAAATTCGCCAAGTGGAAAACCGGCTTAAGACATCATTACAAGAAAAATTAACATGTTAGCAAAGATAAATTAACATGTTAGCAAAAAGTAGTGAATACGTGTAGTATGTGTAATTGTAATTGGCATAATAATTTATGATATTGTAACTCAATTATTATAAACTGATGCTAGTATGCTACCATCAATTTCTGTACTTCCTTTTGGCTGCTTCGCATTCATTTTCTCTGCTGTAAAAACAAACAAAATAAGAATTAATTAAAAAGTAGCTTGTACTGTACCATATTTATTGTCAATTGTAATTGTATCAGTAACCTTTAACTAACATACCTTCTCTTTGGTATGTGGATGTAACATCCATGTCACCCATGACGAATTTATCCAAAATTTCAAATACACAGGTGTACAACCAATTTTTCTTTTCTTGTGATTTTGCCGATTCTGGTGGCGGGGCATGATTATTCGGCATGCCATCGAGTTTCTCCATTCCAAAATATTCTAATACAACAGCTAGGCAGTGAGCTTGGACAACATCATTGAAAAAGTCAATTGACTACAAATAAAAAATAATTACTCAACATTTTTCTCGTGATTTAACATTTGCTGAAGTTGTGTATGAATGAGAGTTGTTTGCTGGCCGACATTATATTAGTCTCTGATTACCTGATTCATTTCATGCTTAACATCTCCAGTGACACTTGTGCGATGCGAACTACACCGTAGTTGGTATAATGTGCCAATGTCTTGTGCAGATTTGTCATCCCACAAGTATGAAAAGATAACCTACAGTACAACAAAAAATATTCCTTTGTTAGTATTTATTATTGTAATGCATTTACATGGTGCGTTCAACGTGAAGTTACCTCACTTCCCAAAAAACTTCCCACCCTCGAACATACTGTACCTAACATTAGTCCAGACCCTATTCTTGCCGCAGATGTTGTCATGCACAAGAAATAAAATGTATATGTTTTTCTGCACTTACAATAAGCAAAGTCATCTTGGTGTGCCAGTCCTCTGCAGTTGGTAGAACATCTGCCAGGCGTTGTTCTTTTTCTATTGATGTCTTTCTCAATCTCTGCACACCGACCGCACGCTCGCAAGTTAGCTGATCCCCTCCAAAGACTACTTGTTCTTTTGCCTTTCCTTTGTGGATATATTGATGCATAAACTCGAGAATATCTACCATACCTTCACTACATGCTTCATTTGCAAACACCAAGCCAAGATTGACAACACTGCTTTTCTTGCTCATTTGCTCACTGTATGTGTGTCTAATGTGCTTTGGGACATATTTCTGAAATGGTTTCAGGAAATTCAATTTACCAATTACATTGTGCAATAACAGGATAGCAAAATTACTTCTAAAATTGCTGATGTCATCAGCTGATAGCAAGAAGGATGTAAGAGGTAATTTTGCCAATTTGCAGATGGGCTTATCATCAGGTAATTCATCATATGGAATTCTGTCTTTCACTGCCAATGTTAAAAACCAATGACAATCCTTATTTTGGTTTGTACCCCTTTGATCTCTAGGCTATATTAAAAAAAGAAAAAATATTTTATTTAAGTAAATGTAACCTACCACATGGGGCGTGGCACACTAGGCAAGCTCAGCATGATGAACATTCAGGGTTTTTGACATTTCAAAGGTTTTTAGAAGCGTGGTACTGTGATGGTTGATCTGTAATTGGAAAAACAGGTATTTTTTATATTCTTATACTTACAGTTATTCTCATATCAATGTTGTCACCCAAAAACTTCACTTGACCTGGATTTGTTTCAAACCACTGTCTTACCATACTGTCATGGTTTTCACCAAGCTTTGCCACAAATGTTTGTGTGGTATCATAAGACATACATAGCTCCAGGTGATTCAGTCTGTTATACCCCTGTTAGTCAAAACAATCCCAAGCATAAGTTGTAGGATTATATTTCTAATTTTTGCCAAGTTTTAAGTTCGCTCAATTTTATTTCGTACAGCCTAAATGTTCTTGAAACGGAATCAGATTAAATAGAATTTTAGTTGATTACTAAGTATTTCAAGAACGATCTTTCTTGAACTCGACAAAATTCCAAGAAAAAACCCCATTTGCATGTGTTTTGTGCATGTAGTTCACCCGGTAAGTTCACTTACAGATAATTTTTGGCGGGAATTACTGCGCTGTTATTTTTTATTTTGTTTAAACAACAATTTTTAAAAAAAATGTTTTCATACGTATCTTGGAGCACTGATATTCAAAATAGATAAATCCTATGATTTTATGTTCAAGAAAATTCGAAAAAGCAAGCTGTTTTGACAAAAATAGCACGTAATGTTAAAGGATGTTGGACTGTATAAATGATTAGGGAAAACAAAATGTCAATGTGTATCACGTAATATTTACCATTTTTGTCATGCCTCCCTTGAGAAGTAGCAAAGAAACCACGTATTGGGCAGCACTCATGTTCTTGTTTCTTGCCTTCATCAGCAAAGAAATAGCCATGCCTGCAGCAATCAGCTTCCTTTCTCTGGATTTATTTGTATTCCTTTCCGCACTTTTTAGATTAATAATAGCCAGTACAATTTGATACAACGTATTTGTTTTCTCATTTACTTCGTCCATCAACTTCAGGAAACTAAAATTGCAAATGTCGTTAACATCTTTCTTACGAAACAAAGTTGTATTGTCCGTTCCCGCAGAGCACATAGCTGCGCATTCTTCCTTCACTAAATTTACAGTCTTCTCCACACATAACTTCTTCCCGCAATCTGTATTAACAACTGTATGGACAACATTGGTATCATCATTTTTCATGAGAGAATGGCAAAGACTGTTCCACTTTTTGTTAACAAGAACAGATTGTTGCCCTCTCGCTGAATGGCATGTTAGCTGGTAAATAACATCGTCGGTGTTGTTTTCACTTTCGGTGAAAGGTGGAATGAATGGTAATGAGTGTGTAGAAATTGGAAGTGAAACTGTAGTAAATGTTTGACAGGGTGAGGAAAGATATGTCGTCGTGCTCACACTTGATGTCGTGTTTGCTGCATTAGAATGGGATGGCTAAATGAACATGATAACAAACATTTAGATAATTACACCCTCGAAGTCATATAAAGAAACACAAGATGATGAAACTACACAGTAAATACGTTCGGTTATCTCCTCTACAATGTATACTACTTCTTCATATTTTTGGTTTAATGGCGTGAATTGTCTGTAATAAGTTTATGGATTATTCGTCCTAATTTTGTGTTAAAATATTAGTGCAAACATTACAATAATTAACACACCCAAGGCTGCAAGACCAGGAGTAAAGCACTTTATGACGACCACATTATATTTATATAAAATTAAAGTGTTTGCAGTAAAAGAAAGCTTGTCTATTTTTGCGTATCAAATAGAAATTTATTTAATTACCCTATCTTTTGTCACAATACAATATTTGTCACAATAACTCTTATTTGTTACAGCGATGCAAAATTGCAATTATCGTACGTGCACAATACAATATTTGTCACAATAACTCTTATTTGTTACAGCGATGCAAAATTGCAATTATCGTACGTGTATCAAATTTGACAAGTTTAACTTTCTAGCTATAACAAATAAAGTATTTTTAAACAGTCTCACTCGGACAATATTGGGATATCATACCAGCAATATTTAGTAAACACCGATTTCAGTTAGTATATACATAGTTGCATATTTCTTCGGCAAAAGACTGGTCTTTTTATAATAAAATTTAAATAATGTCGTCGTACCTGTGCTTTGTCGTTGGAAAACTGCAATGATCTGGCTGAAAATCTACAATTTCTTTCGTTAGGTCTCGATGTTTTCGATGGTGGAGATCTAATCGAATTTGGCGAGGATGGTATTGTTTTTCTTTTCCCTCGAGGACTAATATTTTCCTTATAACTTTTAATTTTCTCGACGGCCCTATTCGCATTATTTCGGCAATTTCGACAACAATGGCGAGACAATCCAGGCTTGTCTCGTCTAATAGACAGACCATATGCCTTGAAAAACAGCATCGCTGTTGATGTATAATCATTTTCTGCATTGTAAAGTACATATCTCCTAGCGGGCGGACAGACTCCATTGCATATTCGACATCGAACTTCACCTGACATTTTTTATTTCTCTGAGTTGTTTACGTTTTGCGCGCGCGTTTAACAGGTGTAAGGGTTTTCCCTTCTCCCGGAAGTCAATCGCAACCGTTTTGATTGGACAAGTTGACGCATGCGCATGCAAATTCTTCTGGACCCTCCTTCTCCGCCGCGCCGTGTGGCGAGAATAGGGTCTGGGACTGGACTAGCGAATACTTTACTCAACTAATATCTCAAGGTAGGTGTTTTTACACTATAATTTTCTCATCAAAGTTGACCTAAAATATATGGGAAACCTTTTACCTGACAGTTTTTTGCAAAATAAAAGTAAAACAAGGCCACATTTATCACTTTGCCTCGGTTTTTGACACTAGTATGAAACACGACTGGAGGCCTTTAATTTATAAATTATAATGTACATTTCATATAGTCATACAAAGTTATGAACTAACCATGCATAAGAAATTGTTGACGTTCCTTTTGTATGTATATTCCTGGTTTTGTTTTTGCCATTTTTTGACGGCTGTTCGCCGGTATAAAACTACAAGTAGGAATATACTTTAATATGAAAAAACGTGAAAACGTTGCAGCAATTTGCGTAAAAAATATATATTTGTACTGTGCCTGAAAAAGTCTTTCTCTTTTGTCACTTTACATAATGATAGCTACCTCTCGTCAATATTTTTGAATTTAAAATGAAATAAAAATATTTTTCGTAATATTATTTACAATTTTTCGTATTTTTTTATTTTCCCGTTCTTGTTCGATCAAAAAAATACGTGCCTTCTCTCCCCCCGGTTTTGTCAAAATCTCTCGCACTTTGTTTACTTTTCTCGACCAATCAGACGCGTCTGTCGCCGCCATTTTGGGTATGTACTTACATCCCGCATATATTCACGAATATTTCGGTAAATTTACGAAACTTTTGCCCGTTTTTTCCAGTGCTTTCCTTTAGATTCCACACTAATTTTATGATAATAATATAGTTTGATTATTCAACGTAAACCTACGATAGACATTTAGCAGATAACGTGCCGTTTTCCTACAGTAATTTGTCTTTTAAATTTGTCAATACATAGACAAATGAGGAATACTTTCCGTCCTTCCCAATAACATAGTAGGATACGTCACTAATTATATAGTCAAATCACAGCGCGACCGGAGCACGCTACGTGCACGATTCTAACAGCAATTTTATTGCTAATTAACGTTTTAATTACGGATTTTATTATACGTCACTAATTATATAGTCAAATCACAGCGCGACCGGAGCACGCTACGTGCACGATTCTAACAGCAATTTTATTGCTAATTAACGTTTTAATTACGGATTTTATTTTTCAAATCACAGCGCGACCGGAGCACGCTACGTGCACGATTCTAACAGCAATTTTATTGCTAATTAACGTTTTAATTACGGATTTTATTTAATAAAACCCGCTTGTTTGGGCTTCCTATGATAAAACCCGCTTGTTTGGGCTTCCTATGGCCAGACATTAAAATTTACAACAGGCAACGAGGCACATGTTTACAAATTGTAATCGTTCATGGTGGTGTTCGCGAGTCTCAACCAGGGTATTCGGAAAGTCAAATCGCGATCTGGAGTATGTTATTTTCTAAAATTTCTGTGACGTCAAAATACGTCATAACTGATAATCCGTACATGCATGCAAAATCGAGTTCTCGTTCGGCTATACATAACTCGGCCAAAGAGACTGGGCACAAGTAATCGCAATACTTCATGTTAAGAATAGTGTGCTGCCTTCGGCAACAAATAGTGTGCTGCCTTCGGCAGCAAAAATTATTTTGTTTTGTAATGATTGACAGTTTTTAACGGTTTTTACTTGACAACATTGTGTGCTCGCCTGGTAACATTATAGAATGACGTCACAAACATTGTTTTCAAACGACAAAAGTTAGCGAACAAACTCTACGAACAAACTTTTGCAATTCCACGCTCAACTGGAAATCGCAGTATTTTGTACAAACATTTGGCAATATTTACACGATTGTGAGATCGGAAGAGCACACGTTGCGTGTATTCCATGCAATTGCGTGGCTCATTTTACTCGCGCATGCTCAGACAAATTTCCCACCCGTTGTGCTGGAACCTTACAGAATGTCGCCCCCACCCAACGTATCTCCCGGCATCTGTTGCAAATTTCTTTGCATGCCTGTCAAAATGCATGCAAAAGTGCCAGTATGCTTCAATTTCTTTAATTTTCATCCCATTTGTACTAAATATCCCATAAACATAGAACATATCATTCTTAAAAATCGCATGCTTTTTTGTTTTTTGTTTTTACTTTTTGGCGGGTAAATTACTTCATAAACCTGGCGCCAAAAAATTTTAAAAAAGCTATAGGTGATCTAGAAGAGCAGACAAAGGATATCCTAAAACTGAAATCGGTTTCGAATACAACCATCAGGGATGTAGCAAAGCATCTAGCCTGTGAACAGGCTCTCAAGCTGAATTGAGAGCCTGCATCGATGACTAATAAATTTGAATATCTGCCCTGTAACGTTCGTTTTTCCAAATATGGAATGTCTATCCTTATATGGTGTTGTTTACAACTTTTGTGCAAACTAAATTTAGACCGTGCAAACTAAATTTAGACCGTACAGTTTATACTGTTTTTCGAAATATATTAAAGATATTCAAGCAAAAGTTCAAATGTTTTAAATACTGTTTTCTCAAAACAGAACTGATTTCGTGCTTTGAGATAAGATGGCCAAGACCAATTTGATCAGTTAATGTGTTTTTTATGCATAGTGCAGCAGTTGGCATATATAGAGCTCAGCGGAAACATATAAATTATAGCAACTGACCAATGAGAATTTCGCGTCACGATTTGAGACACAGATATTCAAATTCATTAGTCATCGATGCAGGCTCTCAATTCAGTTTGAGAGCCTGTTCGCAGGCTACAAAGCATCTGACTTTGGGGGGGGGGGGGGATGTCGGAGGATTATACGTGTAATAATTATAATAAAGCTTTTTGTGATCGATTGGCATTCTCACACTAGGTTTTTGGAGAAAAGGGGGGTCTGGGGGTCCTCCCCCAGAAAATTTTTACATTTTTGAAGCTCTAGGACTGAATTTCTGGCGTTTTCTAAAGCAAATTTCGCAAACAAATTGCATGTAAATTGACTGTATTTTAGAAAAATGGTTATCATTTCACAAAAATAATTACTTTATTACGCAAATTTTACCTGAAAATGTCAAAATTCTAACTTGAATTTGCTGGGGTCAAAACGTTGAAAAGTTTAGAGCCCCCCCTTCAGCATATCAAGAACTTTTAGAGCCCCCCTTTAATGCCAGAAAATATTTCGGTGCCCCCCTTAACATCTTCATCCCCCCCCTCGGCATAATAAATGTACTTTCCCTTATAATATGAATTTTAATACACATGCCCTTGAAAAAAATTCTGCATATTTTCATATTTTTACCTGACCCACGCCTTCAACCATGCTCAAAAATAGTGACCCACAAACCCCTTTTTCCCAGCCCACCCCTTTTACTTTATGACCAGTCCCTTACAGAACCAAACTAGTTTGGATGAAAGGTAATGTTTAAAGGTGATCTACAGTCCGTATGTAAACAAAGCCTTTGTTTACATTTTTGTGTCCAAAATACTGAGCTTTATTCGACAACTATTTATATTTTCAAGCTTCTAGAGTATAATAAATGATCAGGAAACCACAATCAGGCTTTTCAAGAACTCAAAACATAGTTAAACTGTTTGTATCATAAACTGTGGGCTCATTTGTGCACATGTGCAGATCGGACTGTAGATCACCTTTAATGTAATATATACTTTTATATTAAATAATTGAGATGATTTCCGTTTACACGATACTGGAATCCTTGCGCAGGGAAGAAATATTTACTTCAATTTTTTGCTATTTCTTTAGACAATGTTTACTCCACTGAATTAAGAAACGTACCGAATTCGCCGACGACACCCAAATTTTTTTTAATTTTGCACGGAAAAAATTTTAAAGATGTTTTGAGAAATTGCGCAGCGCACAGAAAATATTCCAGGCTGGCGTCGACACACATGTAAATACTAAGTAGCATTAATACAAAGTCATTCACATTTAACAAACAGATTTACCTTTAAATTGCCTTCGGAAATTCCCTACAACACAGAATAACATTTACACGGTACGATAAAAACATGGTGGTAGTTATGAGAAAAGCGGAAGTATACCGGAAGTATATTAAATGAAAGTTTAATGCGGTGAATATATTAGCATAATTTTATCTGAGGGTATGAGCCTGTGGCATGAGCCACTCCAATATTTTTAAAGTGCAGCAACTCGATGAAAAATAATTGGTGATGAGGTGGGTGGGGGATGCAGTTCTAAATCTATGAAACGAAAATGTAACCTTAAAATATATTTGTCGTTTTCCTGTTTTCCAGCAGAGACCCAAAATTCAATTTTTTTACCGGGTGAGCATGCCCCCGGATGCGCATGAATTCAAGTCAAAAAAATTCCTGGCGGCGCCACTGGTATCAGGTAACGAAATCTTTTCCTGACTCCTCTAACGCACCTTGTACAACACCGATGGAAATTACTAGAGCCCCATGCCAAAGTTATATATTTAGTAACTTTTGCCCCCAGCCATCGTATGTGCGTGGGAGGCCTTGTCCTTGAACGGAGTATCAGCAATGAAAATGAAGCCATATCTTTGATTTCCCAATTCTGACGAGAGTAAAAGATCATCCAATCGTTGTCAGGTCTCATGTCACTGTAGAAACTAGCCACTGCAGACTAAACAGTAGTAGCTCACTAGCTCACTACTAGTCACTGCACTGTTTCCAGATTAATTTGGTGTTTCGACTCTCAGAGTGAGAGGTCCAGATAGTCACCGTCGGTAGCAGGGATTTATGGACAACTCCTAGTATCTACATCAGTGTAACCAATGTCCAGACATTTCGGCAAATTATGTCCTTGCTTTATTAATTGAAGGCCAATGCATGCCAGTGACTGTACGCTTCCCTTCACCAGCCATTTCGCTTTTTTATGCACTTTAGCTTTGCTTAACTAAGCCACTAAGGTGTTTTTATGCGGGTAATACAAAAGGGTAAAATGAATATTTAGGAGTATGCGTGAAGAGTTTTGTAATATAATAATAAATAATACGTGGAGAGTATTATAAAGAAAGCCATGCAGTAAACGCCTGTATATCTTGACAATACTAAGAAGATCTAATGCAAAGATGGAAACATTCAATTTGATAACTATTTACATAACAGTAATCAGGCCAATATTAGAATACCTGCCAGGTATGGCATAATATTCAAGATTATTTACGAAACGACTTGAGAAAGTCCAAAAACGAGTGTTAAAAATAATAGTACCTTCATTAAATTATAGTGAAGCGTTAACCCTTACGAACCTCACTTCACTTCATGAACGCCGTGAAAAATTATACGATTATTGTGATCAATTCTTTCAGAAGAATAGAATAGTGACCACTTCATTGAACTATTCCCTGAACTTAATTAAGTAAACTACGATTAAAAAACTACAAAAAAAAACTACTACTTAAGAGCGTGTGTCTCTAAAAACCACCCACTGACTTGGGGCTCGAAAAATAAATTTCTTCGAAACTTTCACCGTGAAGTACATTTACTTTAACAACAAACAAATGCTATGTGGAATTTTGAAAATATATTTAGTTTCAAAGTTTTAGCGATTTTTTGGTCTCGCACAGTCGCGGGAGAAATTCGCCGGCTAATTAAACGAAAAAATGGGCTGAATTTAAATAAACATAATTTCAAAAGTTTTTGTTCAAAATTTCTCATATTCACACCCAGCACCGGAAAACTATCGTAATTTCATCTAAACTAACTTAGGTTTTCAATTGCGGAGCATTTGTGACAATATTTAGCGACAAAGAACGCCATGTGAAAATACGGCTTTCAAATACTACTATTTTCTACGCTGAATTTCTTAAAAGTGGGACCTAATTACATACAGTGACTAGTATAATTGGAAAAAGGACACTTTGAAGTACTAGAACCCGTAGTAAAACTCGTCTGCAAACGCGATTTGAACAATTGACCATTTGCGTAATAAACTAAATTTTGATCTCAACAAAAATTTCATTACATCTTGAAAGAGCATCTCAAAATTAGTAATATTCCAAAGTTTCGTTGCAAAATGTTGTAAAATGCGAAAAATATAGCCTTGCGAAATTTGCAATTTTCAGTCATTTTAGATTACAAACCGGAAATTGACAGCCTCGAAGGGATTGGAGCTGTCAATTTCCCGTTTGTAATCTAAAATGACTGAAAATTGCAAATTTCGCAAGGCTATATTTTCCGCATTTTACAACATTTTGCAACGAAACTTTGGAATATTACTAATTTTGTGATGCTCCTTCAAGCAGTGATGAAATTTTTGTCTAGACTTGTTTAGTTCAAAATTTAGTCTATTACGCAAATGGTCAATTGAGAGCGTTTGAAATTTGATACTCTTTATGGCCTTTTGTTTACATTAGAATATTGCTGAGGTCAGACGTCTGAGTTCGTGTCACTGCTAAAAATGCGCTGTAGTTCTGTCAAATAACCTTTCCCTCAAATAAGTTTATAGCAATATAGTACTAGTCTATATTTCTTTGTTTATGTCTACCGTAAATGGTTCCAAGGGATTTAAAATAATAGGTATGTTAAAATAAACAACTTGACCAAATTAATATGCTACTCGGGGAAAAGCCCGCATGCAGCGCGAATTCTATATGTGGCACATGCTATATTTAGGCAGCGTTTACACTGTACCGTTTTCGTAGCGTTCTCGTATTGTTCGAGAGAACTAGACTATTGTCTTGCGTTCCCTTGAGGATTAAGAACAATACGAGAACGCTACGAAAACGGTACAGTGTAAACGCTGCCTTAGTGTGATTTAGAGTTTGCGTTGCAGCATACTAAACTATTGCTTAGTTTGAAAAGTCTATATATGTGCGAAGTTTAGTTCTGGAACCTTTCTGCGAAGTTGATCTTTGAATTATATTGCTGTAAAATTTGAGAGTTAGTACGGATAATCTGTGTTCTTTTAATGCTATCGATTCTACTGTATGCGGAGGGTGTCGGGGTGAATCGAACATTCAAAACCATCTTTCAAGTTGCCGTCTGTCGAAATCTGGTTTTAGCGAGCGCGAGCTGATTTTGAGAAGAGCGGAATTTTTACATGAAATATCAAGCGAAGAAATACGCTATATGACCAGTATGCCCAAACCACCGGTACAACTTTTTAGTCGGGCTAGTAAAGCTAATTATCAGCATGTCGCTGTGATACTACAGTATACCTCTAATTTCCAATGTTACCATGCGAATGCCGCACTGGCCTATTCGCCGCAACTCTAATTATATTGCCTATAACAAATTAACAATGCGATTATATATCTCTAATTTGGACTATATTTATCACTTACGAGAACCAACTTGCACAAGTACTCCATAAATTTGGAATACATCCCGTGATACTTCCAGGTTAATGACATCTTTTCCTTTGCAGCGACGTGCAGGCGCAGTGTGAGAAGGATGTTGGCATGTTAGACGAGATCTCCAGTATCGGCCCAAGTTGTACCGGTGGTTTGGGCATAGTGTCATAGAGCGTATTTCTTCCCTTGATATTTCATATAAAAATTCCGCTCTTCTCAAAATCAGCTCGCGCTCGCTAAAACCAGATTTCGACAAACGGCAACTTGAAAGAAGGTTTTGAATGTTCGATTCACCCCGACACCGTCCGCATACAGTTGAATCGATAGCATTAAAAGAACACAGATTATCCATACTAACTCTCAAATTTTACAGCAATATAATTCAAAGATCAACTTCGCAGAAAGGTTCCAGAACTAAACTTCGCACATTTATAGACTTTTCAAACTAAGCAATAGTTTAGTATGCTGCAACGCAAACTCTAAATCACACTAAATATAGCATGTGCCACATATAGAATTCGCGCTGCATGCGGGCTTTTCCCCGAGTAGCATATTAATTTGGTCAAGTTGTTTATTTTAACATGCCTATTATTTTAAATCCCTTGGAACCATTTACGGTGGACATAAACAAAGAAATATAGATTAGTACTATATTGCTATAAACTTATTTGAGGGAAAGGTTATTTGGCAGAACTACAGCGCATTTTTAGCAGTGACACGAACTCAGACGTCTGACCTCAGCAATATTCTAATGTAAACAAAAGGCCATAAAGAGTATCAAATTTCAAACACTCTCAATTGTTCAAATCGCGTTTGCAGACGAGTTTTATTACGGGTTTTAGTACTTCAAAGTGTCCTTTTTCCAATTATACTAGTCACTGTATGTAATTAGGTCCCACTTTTAAGAAATTCAGCGTAGAAAATAGTAGTATTTGAAAGCCGTATTTTGACATGGCGTTCTTTGTCGCTAAATATTGTCACAAATGCTCCGCAATTGAAAACCTAAGTTAGTTTAGATGAAATTACGATAGTTTTCTGGTGCTGGGTGTGAATATGAGAAATTTTGAACAAAAACGTTTGAAATTATGTTTATTTAAATTCAGCCCATTTTTTCGTTTAATTAGCCGGCGAATTTCTCCCGCGACGGTGCGAGACCAAAAAATCGCTAAAACTTTGAAACTAAATATATTTTCAAAATTCCACGTAGTATTTGCTTGTTGTTAAAGTAAATGTAGTTCACGGTAAAAATTTCGAAGAAATTTATTTTTCGAGCCCCAAGTCAATGGGCGGTTTTTAGAGACACACGCTCTTAATAAACTAAAAAACTACTATACTTAATAAACTACGATTTGGGATCTGTGGACACGTATATGGGTGTAAAACGGATCGATTTAAAAACTACTTTTTACCCCAAATGATTTTAAAACAAAATAAATTTAGCCTACGATGATTTGTACACATTATATATAAGTAACACAATTTTTAGGTCAGTACATTTTTATCGTTGTAAATGTAATCACCTTTTAGTATCTATAATATATATATTGTTAGAACTGTAATTTAGGTTACAAATAAGTGTTCAAGTTACTAAAATTCAACTTCAATTAAAGTTAAAGTGCCTGTATCACTTGTGGGGCCTTTATGGATTTGAAAAGAGCGCAACAAGTTAGTTAATAAGTTCAAAAGCTTTTTTCGATTCAGTGCAATAATTTCGAAGATACAGGTCTCTAAACTACCTGCAGTTCCGAGTCCCAGGCTCCTATGCACAATGGACAGTTTCGAAAAAGGCCAAATTTATCCCGTCAATATTACCGTATTTCCTCTATTTATTTGCTTCTATATAGCTCCCCCTTCTAATTAGCCTCTAGTGCAGAAGCGCTGAAACAAAATAATTTATAACTGCGTATAAAGTTCACTGATATGACTAAATAATCGTATAAATTGTATCTCCAACTGTCCTGTAATGACGGTTTTTGCCTCAAGGCCTCTATTTAGCCCCCACCCCTAATTACCCCCATTCCAGAACCCCGGGGGCCATAGAGGAAATACAGTGCAAGAACGTCGACGTTGTTTTTCCGGATGTTTGATCCTGCAAGCTCGCAAGTGCATTGTTTATCGCTACCTACAGTGCATGGAACCGACGTTCAATGTTACATCTCGTCATCATGGAGAAGGCTCAATATTTTTCGTGACGGAGGGTGTGATTATAAGGTATTCCCAATAACGATAGCTATCAATTCCATCTCTTGATGTGGGAAATCATATATTAGAATAATGAATTTCATAATAATTGTAGTGGCTAGTTTCGTTTCAGTTGGTATATTCGTTAGTTTCGTTTTGGTTGATATCGTATAATCGTAGCACGGCCCATCAGAAGACTGAAATGCCACCGTGCATATGTTTAAATAATAATCGTATTCAATGTAAATGTCAACAAAAACTCGAGGCACAGGTCAGATTTCACATTATCTTTAAATATTACTTAGAATTCCTTAGAATTACAGTATATCTATCCGTTATGCACTCAACTCGCAAGCTTGCTGCCAGTGCTTTCAACCAATTACAATGCCCGCAGTTTATTTTACTTAGATGAAAACACTCGCAGTGAGCTAGCTTGCGAGTTGGTTTTTGTGATGAGGGGAAAAGAGCTTTTATATCCGTTATTGTCAGGCGGGGGGGGAATATATAAACGACTGTCACAATAAATCATCGCCACACTATAGATCTTACTCTTGTTTAGAACTCTTGTTATAAATTAACATATCTTCACGCAGGGACGCCGGAACCACAGGTGCAGTGGGTGCAAGTGCACCCTTTGCCTTTTGTATTCACTTTCTGGGTACAATGCGGGTGCAGACTATTGGTGCAACGGGTGCACGAAAGATTTACCCTTTGCCTTTTGTATTCACTTTCTGGGTACAATGCGGGTGCAGACTATTGGTGCAACGGGTTTCACGAAAGATTTAACACGAACAGATTTAACATGAACAGATTTTATAACACGAACAGATTTTATAACACGAACCAGGGCGCTGTAAAGATTTTATAACACGAACCAGGGCGCTGTAAAACACGGGCGGAGGGCGCTGTAAAACACGGGCGGTGAACACGGTGATGCAGGTCCTCCCGCATATTTTCATTTTTATTCGAATTCGATGTGGTTTGATCAGGCATGCATGTTTGTTTTGACTTCTTTTTAAAATTACTACGTAAAAAGGTACAATTCAAGCTGAATTCACAACGGATTTGGGATCTGTGCTATTACTATGGACAAATTCTTTTTTCCGGATTCTTAATCACGGCTGATTATATGGGGAATGTCGTAGTGTGATATAAGTCTGGGATCTCACTCACGAGAATCGATTGTTTTTGCAAAACAACTTCGTTCGTTTATAAGATGAAAAAAAAGACGAAGAAAAAGTTTTTTAAACGGCTGTTGTTGTAAAACCTGCAACTGGAATGTGTGTTTGGAAATCAGGTATGTTCAATCACATGTATTTTTGTCAAGTTCCACCAGATGAAGCGCCATAAATTGATAAAAACAGCAAGTTCTTTTTTTCAAGCGATAGTTTGTTGTCGCAGTTTTACAAGCGCGGAAAATTTTTAACTTTTAAATATTTCATGCACAATATATGAAAACTAGTTTTATTTTGATGTTTTTGTATAATTTAAGTACCTAGTTTTCTGAAAATCACCAAATGAAAATGGGCTTTTTTAATTTTTAAACATTTTTTTGGCCTTGTTTTTGACATGTGCATGCCAAATCTACACATGAAATACAAGCAAGCGATAGTTTGTTGTCGCAGTTTTACAAGCGCGGAAAATTTTTAACTTTTAAATATTTCATGCACAATATATGAAAACTAGTTTTATTTTGATGTTTTTGTATAATTTAAGTACCTAGTTTTCTGAAAATCACCAAATGAGAATGGGCTTTTTTAATTTTTAAACATTTTTTTGGCCTTGTTTTTGACATGTGCATGCCAAATCTACACATGAAATAGACTGAGCTGACATGCTGAAATTTAAGGCTAAAAAAATATGTTTCGACGAAAAAGTCTGTCTTCTTTTGATAAATTTCTGATATATTATGACTCGATTTCAGTTTGTACAATTTTTTAGGGGATGTTTCACACCTAGGAAAAAAACTACATGCAAAAAATACAATTTTTCCGCGGTTCTTTTTCAAAACGTAAACATGGCCGCATCCTCGGCAGTTTGTCGAGCTGACATGCTGAAATTCAAGGCTAAAAAAATATGTTTTGATGAAAAAGTCTGTCTTCTTTTAAAAAATTTCTGATATATTATGACTTGATTTCAGTTTGTACGATTTTTTAGGGGATGTTTCACACCTAGGAAAAAAACTACATGCAAAAATACAATTTTTCCGCGGTTCTTTTTCAAAACGTAAACATGGCCTCTAAAATGGCCGTATACGCTGTACTTTATCGAGCTGACATGATCTATATATTGTTTTTGAAACTAATTGTTTTTGAACTAATTATGTCTTTGACGGCTTGGGGAATGTTATTTGTATCTAAAATCAAATATTGTGGCAATATAATTAGATTGAACAATATTTAAAATGTTCCGCTTGATATTTTAAAAACTTTCGTGTTAACTTGCGTTGCTTCTCCTTGCGATACAAATGATGAACAGCACTATGTTCAGGGAAAAAAGTTATAGCAAAAAAAGTCCAAAAAAGTCCGACTCTTAATTTTAATTATTCTCAAGTATGTTAATTTGGGAAACTTTTTGTGCTATCAAATTCACCTAGGACTACCTAGAGCGTTAAAAAACTCGTATTAAAACCTGACTTTGTGCGCAAAAATAACAAATTTTGAAGGGAACAAAAATCAAAACATTTCTTAAAACATTGACATTTTACAACGCAATGCGCTTTTTGTTTATTTTAATTAAGTAAAGCTGAAGTATAATAGTGTTTCTTTCAAATTACGTTAAATAATTATGTAATAATTTAAAACTTACCTATATTTTCGTTTGTTATTTCGTAGTCTTCGGCAAATCTTTTTGTTGCCATTTTTGTGCCGTTCTTTTTGTATTTCTCGCAAAACGCGCGCTTTCGCCAGTCTCCAGCCGCATCACACATAGATCAGCGTGATTACCGCGCGTTTCCTCGCCCGTGTTTTACTACGCCCTGCACGAACAGACCTCGGCTTACGTCAATTCCTTGTCCCTGTATATATTGATATGTTTGTGTCTGATTTTAAATTACGCTGTAAGTATAGGTTAGTGCCCTTTGATTTTTGTTGGTGCCCTTTTGTTAAAAAATATGCCTTTTTGAAAACAAATCGCACCCGTTGCCCTTAGCAAGTTCCGGCATCCCTGTCTTCACGTTGGCGCGGCTTTTCGTAACGTAAGATATCCTCCAATAATGTCCATTGGAAGGTTACGAATTGTCGAGAATTCTTCACTCGTGCTGTAAAGCATTCTTGTTTGAGGATCTTTATACTTTGCCTGTAGGAAATTATAAGAAGTAGAAATGTTATGTTTGCGTTTACTGTACATGTCAAGGCATGCGATTAAACCAATTAGGATAACTTAAGGCCCGTTTACACGGGCGATTTTTGCTGCGATTTTCGCCTTTTTGAGGATCTGAAGGAATAGATTACTTATTGATATTGTTATGAGATTTCATAATCTGGAACATTTATAACTCGTACACTCCTTCACATCCTCCAAAGGAGAAAATCGCAGCAAAAATCGCCCGTGTAAACGGGCCTTTAGTTAAAAACCCAAATCAGAACCGAAGGCTCAAATGGGACAAAAACAGTCACTTTAGTTAGTATTACTAGTTTTCTCTATAGGCCATATAATTTAAGCTTGCCACCTGATTAACAACGTCGGACGACTATTAGAAGGTTGAAAATTAAAGAATCGAAGATCACACTGTTAATTTCAACTCACCGGTACCCCTGTTAGATCAGAATATTTCTTAGCTGGTTTAAAAGATGGTGGAGCTTCAATTGAACTATCTAAAAGAATACATGTAGTGCTTATTTACTGTTCTGTCGATTAAGGACTCCCGCTTAAAACGTCAAATAAGATAATCTTTTAAATAACAGAATCTTTTAAATAAGAGAAACCTTTAAGAATAATCTTGTAAAATACGTAACTATGTCACAACGTACATGTCGGATCATCTTGTTTCCAAGGTAAAGTTCTCTCCTGAGAAATAATCTGTTTCAAATTTTTCCATAAACGTTTCTTCGTTGAATTAACACCAGAATGCTATAATAAACATTGACAAACTTCGTATCCAGGATTTTTGCTCCCGAGAAATAGAAGATAACTTTGGAAACAGTTCGACTCAGGGCGCTTATATATAGGCGCCTGGTTTGACTAACTCACGGGCGTTGGTTGCAGAGGTTAGAGTTAGGGTGGATGTTAGGGTGTTAAGAGATTACTACACCGGATTAAGAGATTATTAGGGGTTTTAAGCTTCACGTTTCCGGAAACGGCAGGTTCGAACTTTCTTGGCAAAATTTTCGTTTAACGTTTTCGTTTCATATTTAATTTTCTTTCTTGCGTCGAAAAAATAATTATGTATTTCAGTTTTAAAACAGCATTATTATTATTATTATTATTTTTTAAAATTTTTTTATTATTATTATTATTATTATTATTATCTTTATTAGGGTCAATTAATCATATATTACAAAGAAAAAACGTATGAAATATTCAATCAAACTATTAATAGAATATAGACCCTAAATGGGCAAGGTATAAACGGGACTCGAAGAACCATGCAAGATACTTTCCCAAACGTTACTAAAACTAATTTATATAACATTACACACATAACTCTACGCACACCTACAGTAGTGCACCACAATTTACGTCCTATGACACGAACAGTCACGAAACAAGGGCCACGTACATGACAAGTCAACATCATAAATAGAATCAACAATACTAGAGTATCTACGTTCAACTAAACATTTAAAAGAACTATAGGACTAAACACAGTGTCCAAAGATATTACCTCAAAGTTTGGATCCTTAAAAACAAAATGTCCAAATTCATTGTAAAGGCTATTGTCCGCAGTTGTAAACGAACTTGGACTGTTTGTTGGATATTCAAGATCTTCCACACCCTAATATTTAGAGAATTGCACGATCATTGTGTGTGAACCTGTTTGCATAACAACTGAGGGTGGGTTAATGTTGGGTAAAGAAAGTCCTTGACGTAATATATGAACAACGAGAGCGAGTGTTTCACCGGGATATCCAAACACGACAAAACAATGTATGAAAACACGAGCGCGAAGCGCGAGTGTTTTCATACATTGTTTTCGAGTGTTTGGATATCCCGGTGAGACATGAGCTCGAGTTGTTTATATGGCTTCTCAAATGAATCGAGACGTAACAGAATGTTTTCGTTTCCTGATTTGAACAGAATTCTTAACCAAGCATAACGTAATTAGGAATTCAATTCAAGTAATTTTGCATGCGTAATTAAGATATTTGATGAAAATACTAGTGACTTTCATCAAGTATCCAAATGGCATCTTGTGATCAAATAGGTGATTATCATTGGCTGAATTGCTCATGAATTATTGAATTTGAGAATGTTAATTTATCTAGCTAATCTGGTAAAATTAAAAACTCATACATACCCCCAACAGCTAGGGCCTTTTAACAATCAGTGATTAATTCAATGAGAGCCAGCACTTTCCCCTTGACGAGGATGCATTATGGTGCAATGTCACTGACAGGATTAAACCATTAATGCCATGCAAAACTTCAAGCCAGCACTTTTACATTGATGGAAAAATTGTCTGGCATAAAAGAGACGGGCTGCCAAGAAGTTGTGCGGGGCAAAACATTCCCAGGGACCCGTATGACGTTATAATTGCACACCAGAAAAAGCAGTATTTTACAATATATATATTGAACATTATTGCATATTATTATTATTATACATTCTAGTCGCTGCATGCGTTTTGATTGGTTAATAGCTTACAACTAAATATGGCAATCACGCAACTAGCCTGATAACAAACCTACGTTTTACCCGCCCTAAAATTCGTCGACGGAAAGGGCGAAACGTAGGTCTGATGAAAATGTTGTCAAAATCGCCTTCCGCCCACTTTGCATTTTGCAATAATTAACGATGATGATTGACACATACATGTAATACCTAAAAATACAATGAAAGTTGTCGATTTCACTTTATTGCAAGTTTGTAAACTAGTAAGAGTCGATAAGTACAGATATTCGAATAAATATTTAAAATATTGGTAACCCCCAAGTTTGTAAACTAGTAAGAGTCTATAAGTACAGATATTCGAATAAATATTTAAAATATTGGTGCCCGTTGCTTTTATATACTTAAACCTTTGTAAACAAACCGTTACAGCTAGTAATAATACAACATTTTCAACACATTCTATAAATGCGATAAAATCTGCCTACGCAAATTTGGCAATGGCCAATGTGCCATTGTTGAATTGCATCCCAACTCTTACAATTTATACATTTGAAATCGCCATACAATGGTAAAATCTAAATAGAATATTTTGTACGTGCTATGTTATCAAAATGTAAATCATGAATGCGCACATATTTGTATCCGAGTTTTATGATTAATCACAAAACTTAGATCGTGTATAAAAAATTATATATTGTATTGTTTATTACAACGGAAAGATACAACGCTGAAGAATTTGACACGTACTGCTCTACTCCCCTCTAGTTTTAATTTTAGACGGTAGATACTGATCATAGACTTGTTGTCGTTTGGCATCACAAAATATTTATAATATTACACTGTATGCATATTTATATGCGTTGATTAACCGTTGAAAATATTCTGATCTTTTCAAATCTTTTCACGTTAGCGACCAACCAATCACAACCCATTTCCCTGTGAATTAGCCAATCAGCTTTGTCGACCGCCAGGCGGTCGACTTACATGCACTTTTGACAATATTTTCATCAGACCTACGTTTCGCCCTTCGTCGACCCGCGAATTTTAGGGCGGGCGAAACGTAGGTCTGTTATCAGGCTATCACGCAACCTACACATAACAACTGAGTTATCTGTATAGGTTGAGCCAGCAGTATATCATTTTATAGCAAAAAACAGGGAAAAAACAACATGAACGAATGGCATTTTTGTGAATATTTTTTGTGCAAAAAGCAGGCAGATATTTTCATTGGAACTTTAGTAGGTAAAGGAGATTTGTAATATTTTTATGTTGTTATTGCGATATTTTCAATCGTTTTCACTGCCCCTTTTGAGTTATAAAGATGCAATGTATAGTAAAACAGTTATTGAATTTGGTTTTTGTGATATCCTGAATGATCAATGTCTCGGTAAGTGTTATCAAACATGGCCAGCCAACATACTGTACTACTTTGTATTACATAGTAAAGAGTGAGATACTGAAAAATACACAGTGAGATATTTTCCATATACGAAGATATCGATCATGTGACTTTTTCCAATTTGCTTTTGAGCGTGAAATTTCATAATTTTTTGCTTGGGACTATGTAATAAACAAAACATCACAAGGTGGCTTGAAGATATGACTTTTATCTTCTCGTGTCAAAAACAATATTTTACTCACTCGCTGCGCTCGTTCATAAAAATTGTTTTCGTCACTCGAAGATAAAAGTCACATCTTCGTGCCGCCGTGTAAAATCCTCTGTGTATTTTTGAGTTGTCTGAGCAATGCAAAATTCCCATTGGTGGAGAGCCACTTTGATTGACAGGTAGGGCAATATTAATATTGGCAATGCCGATAAAATGCTAGCCTGCATGGCAGGCGGTCTAAAATACCGCCTGCTGGGTTTGGCAGTGTAATTTGATAACCGCCCACTTTTTTGTCCGGGTCCAATTAGCCAATCAGCAAACACTAAATATATTAATAATCAAACTGTCAAACTATGTTATTGTTTGGTCGCAAAATTGCAAATGTATAAACATATGTCGAAAGAAACACCATTGAAAGTTTCAATCAGGACCTCTGAATAACGACAAGAGGTAGAAAAGCAAGCGCGGAAAATGTAAAATGCATGCAATACTCGCTGCATGTGTAAAATATTAGTGAATATCTCTAGATTCTGTATGTTAAAATACATCGCGTCCTTGATCTGAGCAATAATTAAAGTCTTACGTCCTCCGCAAAGGCTTTTTTTGTTCTTATTTTTTGCGCAGTAGTTTGTTCTTAAGCCTGATTTCCACTAGGCGGAATTTTGCGCGCGGAGCGACATTTTCCGCAGCCACAAAGTTGAAAGAAGTTCAACTTTTTCAGTTTCCGCGCGGAAAATGTCGCTCCGCGCGCAAAATTCCGCCTAGTGGAAATCAGGCTTTATTGAATACAAGTGAGAAGGAAAGATAAATGTGAACCCTGGTTTGGTCTCAGAAGTTTGGTCTGATCTTGGTCTGATGATATGTGACACTATGATTGGCTACAGGGGGTAAACAATCAGCCAATGAGAATGAATGTTCCGAGCGCTGCGACCTTACTGGTTATAAAACCCGTTGCAAGAAAGACTATACGGCCGTCTGTATCTATTCTCGTTATATTTTCTCGCGCCAACAAGAACAATGTAAAAATCAAGCTTTCCCATAGAACGACCAAAACATTCTTTCCAAGGAGTAAATCTTTAACTGCTATCTCTTCCTCGCGTTTGACAATCAGTTCGCGACAGCGACTTTCGAGAAGCGTTCAGAGTGTATTAACTTTTGACTTTTGAGTGACGGCTCAGACTCGCAGCCAATCATCAATTCCCGTCCACTGGTGGACGGGGAATTCGATTATACTGCCAAACCCAGCAGGCGGTCTTGTCCAGGCCTGTCTAATTTTAGGGACCGCCTGCCATGCAGGCTAATAAAATGCTTATTCTTAATTACTCGCTATGTTTACCTCGCATTGTGATTGGTTCGCTTAAATTACAAAAAAATATAATAGACAGATTTAGAATTGATTGAGTTTTTACTGCTTTTAAGTGATTTTAATCTTCTATCTTCCCACGTTTTCCCGATTTAAACACTTGTTATTATAACTTCAGTGCAGTTTGTTCTAAAATGTTTGTTTAATTGGTGAAGGATACTAGTGGTATTGAAGTGGTTATTAACAATGCTTGCAGTTTTGTTGATTTGTTATGGCAAATTTGTCGAAAATCAACATGTCCAAAATTTAGCAATTTAATACAAGGAAAATAACCTTGTCAATAAAAAAGATTTAACTAGTATCATTAAACAATACATGCATGGGGAACAAAATAGGATGATTTTTATCATGCATACTCTCATATTTTTTTCAAAAGAAGCATAAATCTTTGACATTCAAGAGAGGATGTGAAAACTGTATTTTCACGTCGTGGATCAATCGTCGAAGACGACGTTGTAAACCAGAAGCTGACGACAGTTGGCGCCAAATGACAACATCCGCGTCGTCTCTGAGCTCGCGTCGTCTTTTCTAAATCTGTCTAATGTGTTGGGCCGCTGGCTGTATTTCTAGCTTCACCCTGTAAGCTCTGCCCCCAAATACAGCCAAAGCTCGGCTGGCTATAGGGAGCAGGCCTTGCGTGAGAAACGTGTAAGCATGGGCCCACTTAGTACAAACACCGCTTTTTTTCTTACGTTTTAAACATACCTGTAGATCAGAGATTGTGTTGCAAGTGTACGAAAAAATGCCAGGTGTAACACTGTAACATGGCTTTTAATAGCCATGGTGACACATTTGCTTGCTTAGTGAATGCCTTTCAAAGGTAGTCATTTGTGAGATTTTGATAACATGTTTGTTTGTCCCTGGTGGGGAGTTGGCTCTTCTTGATTTTCCTGGGACTGAGAAATAAATGATCTGCAAATGGGAGGTAACAGAGGGTCCTAAAGGGGGGGGGGGGGTCCCAATCCCATTTCCCACCTGAAATTTTGGCAAAATCCCAGTTGGATTTTTATTAGAAATCCCAGTCCCAATTATTGAAATCCCAGTCAATAAAAAACCCTTTATTTATCGGGAAGAATAAACAGTTTTAAGACCTTTTTTAGCAAGTGGCGGACACTTTATGAAATATGGGGGGGGAGGGCTCATTAAATTTGAATCCCAGAAATGGCATTTGCAGCATTCTGAGACACGCATAATCAGAAAACCCAGAATTCCGGGCGCCAGAGTATGCCTGTTCGCAGGTAGTGCTGTGAATAATATAGTTAACAACAAAAATCATGACCAAAGACACCAAAAACGGATCAGAATTGTATTTTAAAATACTCAAAACGCAGATTGAAAATTGGGAATCGACTCGCATTACCTCAATCCCGTTCCCATTTTTGAGGACTTCATTTCCCATTCCCAGTGGCCAAATCCCAGTCCCAGCAACCCAAATCCCATTTTCCCAGTCTAAAAATAGATCAATCCCAGTTCCCATTTTACCCCTTCAGGGCCCTCGTAACCACAGAACCACAGAATAGGAACCTTACAGAAGGTAGAAGCAAAAAAAAACTGAGAAAGTGTAACCATGGGGCACTCCACGATTCGTCATCAAAATGCACTCACCATGTTCCTGGGCAATGCACTTATGAAGGCGGTGAAGCATTCAGGGTCTGCCATTTTCAGGGGGTGAATGCCTATCATAAGCACACTGGCTAGGACCATGGCAACAGCATTGCAATGGTTATGTCAAAATCATAGGCAAAACCAAGAAATCGACCTTCTGCATGGTCCCTATATTTCTGTGGTAGAATACTAGAATACTTGATATCCAGACTGCAGAGTATGGCAGTTTTCGACGAGATCTCGGGTGTGCAAGACAAAAATTCAGGTGTGCAAGTGTGCAATCCTGTATTAACGTAGTCAAGTGTGCGCTTATAAATAGCTACATTTCTAATGATATTAAACAATGATTGTTTATTTGTACAAATAACTAAAATTTCTGCCTCTCAGGAAAACAAAACGTGGTCCAAATTCTGAACAAACAAGAATATATATTTCGATGGGAGTTAAAAGTCATTATGAACACGTACAAAATAGCGTGTTTTCCTGTGAAAGGAAAATGTGCATGTCCTTGTACAATTGAGTTGTAAATAGAAAAGTGTACACTCAAAAATGCCATTTCCGACAATGTAGAGACTCCAAATTTCAAAAATTTTCCGCTCGGTACCAACCATGGTGGCGCCTCGTGGAAATCAGACCAATTGAAAGTTCTCTTGCGCCCATGCTTACATGCTATACGGTTTTGTTCAATCATAAACAGCCTGATGATTGCAAAACTCTGCTGTTGATAGAAATTCGAAACTTTAATGGACATTGTTCATTTGCGCCCAGGAATCAGCGTTCCCGATTTTCAGGTGGTTGTTATATTGCACTTGTCTTAGAAGTCCTTATTTTACTGTCGTTCCAATTGAAGTGTTGCTCAAATATTGATTCAATACATTACCTCGGCCTGACCAATAGCGTTGTCCGCAGTAGCTAAAAATAGATTCTCCAAGTGAAGACCCCCCACGAGACTCAGACAAACAAACTAACATTTTGTACAATCTCGTACCCAGAGTATGCCCGTTCGCAGGTTAGGTGCTGGGCATGACTCTGGAGAAACGGAATACCGGATATCCAATTTTGGATATCCGGTTAGTTGTGCGCATGCTCACGCTCAAACCGCAACACTGAATTCGCGCGGGCGTCATTAATTGCAATTATAAATAAAATCGTAGAATTCAGTCGAAAATTTGATACTTTTTACATTGAAATCAATTGAAAAAGATTCATTTTCTTGTGCTAAAAGTTACAGAGTAAATATATATGCGGTGTATATAAACCAATCATTTTTATGGATTTTATACGGTCAAGAAATGGTATCGAGAGACTTCGCAAGAAGGCCACTGACAGAGGTTTTATACAGGATCTAGATTATTACAAACTATTAGATGTTTTTATAATATTAAAATATGTAGAATGCTTTATGGGCAATTGTGGACCTGTTAGCCTATTTTGTTTATTACAATCACATAGTGATACTTTAATTGGTGCATTGTATTGATATTTAAAATAAGCATGAAAATACTTCCCTCTGTTAATACTCTAGGTCTCTAGCTATATCATTCCTTTGTCCTTTGATTTAACATTGTGCCAGTGCCGTAGCCAGAACGATAATTGGGGGGGGGGGCACATATTCATATATTCGTGTTCTGCTTTATTAATTTCTTTTGAAATCAATTGTTTTTATGGTATGTGAACACGAATATATGAATATGTGCCCCCCCCCCCAATTATCGTTCTGGCTACGGCACTGCATTGTACATTGCATTACATTCATACAAACAGTTCCATGGTTATATCTATTTAATTTATTTATTAATTGAGTCATAAAAAATTATGTTGACAATTAATTATGCTTGAAAATAACTTAATTAAATGGAATTATGACATAGTGTTTGAACTTTGAAATGTTTTTGCTGATATAAATATTATCATTTATCATAACTATTGGGTTTAACCATAGATATAGGAGACCTATCTATGGGTTTAACAATTAACACAGACTGATGTCATCAGGTTGGGTGCCTGTCTGAAAGGTGGCAGGCAAGGCAGGGTGTTGCTAAATTGCCTATCCGAATACTGGGGGCACTGATTGGGAAATCTGCCATTATTGGGGTTATGGAGATCGGAAGCTACATTACCCTGACCTCCTGACATTGCTTCATATCCCTGGGAGATAAATCATAACTTACATGTGCTGATGTATGCCTGCAACCGGTATATGGCCAAGTCAAGGTAACTAGCTACTATTCCCATTAAATATGTACTGTACGTTAACTATATAATGTTGCAGGCGGAATGTAAGATACATGTGGGATGACCTGCTGCCACTATGGCATTGTCGTAGCCAGTGGTCTAGTAGGGGAGGGGTTCTGGGGGACTTAGGCCACCCCCCTCCACCAGTTTAGGACAATTTTGGAGAAAAGGGACAAAACTACCTGGGGGTGTGTGTGGAGGGGTGACACCCTCTATCTCATCGGGTATACCCATACAATTTAGTCGGGCAAATTTTGAAAATATTTGAGTGTCTCAGATTGAAAAGTAATAGTGGTAGGAAAAAGTGGTAGTGAAAAATGCTCCCCGCTCACCAACAATTTTGGGAAAAGAAATATTAATTAGCGATTGATCAAATGTTCGTCCCTCAGGAATGACTTTGGAAACAACCCTTTTGGTCAGGCAAAACAAGTTAACCTCACCCCCCCCCCCCCCAGCCATAATACAGAAGTTTTGCCCCTGTTGGAGAGCCCCCTTGTTAACATTCCAGGACTACACCACTAGTCGTAGCCATACTGACATTGTTAGCATATATAATTTCAGCACATCAAATTGTATGCTCTTACTGCAGTAGCAGATACTTTTGGTGGGAAGGCATTCGGTTGCCACAACATGAACACCTTATGGTGCTCTAAATCTCAGTCCTTTAAATTTTACCTCAAAATTCTGGCAATTTATAGCTTATTTTATTCCCAACCTATGCTTTCATGGATGCTGTATCATCCAAAGGCTTTCAGAAATGGGAGAGTGGTTTGCACCCTACACTGCTGTCCTGTTTATTTTCTGTTAAGCCCCAAGCTGGCCAAGCAGCTTATTTATTTCAGGCATGGAGTCTAGAAACTATAGCTTGTAATCTCAATTTGAGAGGATGTGGAGGGCTTAAATTAACAGTAGGTTTGTTATAAAATTCGAGATAAAATTATTACTTTCATCGAATATTCCACTACTATAATATGGCCTTGATGTATTTGTAACAGATCCATAGCTCACATAATTTAATACTTTCATATATTTATAAAGTTACAAGAATATTATGGTATACTCAAAAGTAGAGTATTATATCCACACAAAAATTCAATGCTGGCTATTTCCAAACGGCAAACACAGGTCCAGAACAAGCCAAAATCCCAACACTGGCGATCACTAGCGCAATTGAATTGAAGTAAATATTTTGTTACATCATATCGGTAATTTATATATAAACAAACAAAAAGTATTTGCCATAATACAAGATACAAAAGTGTACAGATCGTACGTATAAATCCTCAATCAGATTAAATGTAACAATTAACTTGTATTTGAAATCTTGCAAATAAATGCAATTTCGACTTTGTTTACGTCGTATTCGTGAATTTCCACGTGTAATTCCCGCACTTGAACACCAATTTCCGGTATCGGTGTTATTGATCTCACGCCAGCCAATGAAATTGATAATTTCATCCCGTTTCTCCAGAGTCATGCCCAGCACCTAACCTGCGAACGGGCATACTCTGGGTACGAGATTGCATTTTGTATAGAATTGTACTAGCAGCGAACACAAATTGGTCTAAATTGACGTTTTTATTTATTTTATCTGTGCTAAAACGAATTCAAATTTATCCCAAATTACAAACATAATTAATGCTAAGCACTGTTGCTGGGGAACATGTCCAAGTGATTCGAGATACTAAGAAAAACTGCCGAAACAGGGAATTGAAAAGTCGGACGGGACGGAATGTCTGCAGTAGCAATGTGTTGATTGTTATTGACTGCGGACTGTGCTGGTTTTTCTCCAAGAACTTTCGCAGTTTTATACCGCTTTGCTATAAGCCGGCCTCTACATTTTAACCTCTGCTTGAGTTTAATCGACAGTATAAGCAGATGGATCATGCTCAAAATATGAGTCTGGGACGCCATCGTTTTCAGTGAGAGCGTCTGTTGTTAAATTTATGACTGAGAGAGAAGCAATAGTTTACCAGACAGTGTTAGGCTCGGTTCATACGTCGAACTTTTCATGTGCCGAATCTAATGTTTCTATTAAGTGCATGAAAAGTTCGACGTTTGAATCAATTAGCTGCAGCAGAAATCTATTTAATTCAACAGTCGTTTTATTCGACCAAGCCAGTCGAATAAAACGACTGAAATTCGACGTTGATTCATACGTCGAATTTTTCATGTGCCGAATCAAATGCATAAATTAGTATAATTGCAAATAATTATTTTATTACCCCAAATCACCCCTAAAATACCCCACGTTTGAGTCAATTGTCATGCGCAAATGAAAAAACCGCCAATGTGGTTCAAAATGGCGGGGAAAGGCGAAGCAGCATGTTCATCTTGTGCTATGGAAACCAAATATATTTGTATGAGATGTAAGGTACATTGTTGTACAAGATGCTCAGAAATGGAAAGCGATGAAGATACCCCAGGATGGAAAGCGGGAAAATCCGTAGGCTATTGCGAAGCGTGTTTTTTAAGGAAGTTGGACGAACTTCAAGAATCTGATCAAAGCGAAACAAGCTCGCATTGTGATCAAGGTTCCGAAAACTGCTCGGGAAATTTTAAACAGCAACTTGAAAAGAAAATCGAAAGGTAGGAGATAATGAATAATGCTTTTTAACCCAATTTAGCCTTGAGTCATTAAATTCTGTAAAATAAATTTTGTCTCCTGTTTTGTCTACAACATACAGTCAAATTTGACAAGGCAAGATAAAAATTTTCTACTAGAAAAAATGTCTATGAGGTCTGAAATTACACGAGTACATATAAGGAAACATTTTAATATTAAAATATTGAAATATAATACCTGCCACCTGGAATTAATGGAAAATATGCAATTTACAAATGGGTGCAATTATGGACCTGCAAATGTTAATCATGTGGTGGGATGAGCTGGGGAATGGGTGTAAATTTTACAGACTGTATGTCATGTGGGCGAGCCAGGAGTCTGAAGATGCCCTGTGGTGCAGATATTTGAAATTTGCTGAATTATTAATGCCCAATTATCTCATACAAAGGCTTTCAAAATGCATGTGACACTGCTTGTGCTCAAATTGCAAAGCTGGGTTTACTTTGATTTAGCATAAATCATTGTAAACACATGTCTGGGTTGTAAGTTAATAGCCGGTATTGAACAACTGTCAAAATCACAGTCTCAATGTTCATCCTGAGGGGGGGGGGGGGCAGGTGCATCAATGTATTTCCCTCTTGGTATTTAAATGCTATGTATATGTGGGGGGGGGGGGGCAGGTGCATCAATGTATTTCCCTCTTGGTATTTAAATGCTATGTATATGTGTTAATGGTAATGGGAGATCCTTGTGCATTGATGGCTGAATATTGCAATAAAAAATCCAGATAAAATACTATCACTCTGTATTGGGTGAGGACGATAGTACTTACGAGAAGTGTTTGTTATTAATAATTCAAATACAAAGGGATTAAATTGAATTACTGTTATTGGGGTAAATACTACAAAGATTTGATCAGGCTATCACAAGATTGTAAACCAGGAATAAAAATAGGATGAAACATGCAAATATGGCAGTTGGGTGTTTCTGAGTTTGAATTCCTGTTGGTGTTAAAACAAATACATATCATACTCTATTTTATCTTTTAGACTTAAAGAATTGGTTAATGATGGTTCATCAGACGAGGAAGAGGAGGATCACACAAGAAAAGAAAAGATTGGTTAATGATGGTTCATCAGACGAGGAAGAGGAGGATCAAACACAAGAAAAGAAAAGAAAGAAAAAGAGAAGAAGGGAAAAGAAAAGAAGAAACCTGGTAGAAAATCTACTTGGAGTGTTGAGGCAATTGACAATTTTGTTGATATCATAGTAAACAACAATTACTACCAAAAGAAATTGGTTTTCACCAACACTAAAAATCAGAAAAATGGAGAAATATATGAGAAAATTCTTATTGAGTTGAAGGAGAGAAGTGCTGAAAGAGGTGAAGTAATTCAATTCACTGTGCCCCAGTTAAGAACCAAATTTAAGAAATGTGTCAGTGAGTGCAAGCAAGCAGCCCTAACTATGAAAACAGCAACTGGGATTAAAAGATTCCAAGAAGAGCGTGGGTTTGGAAAGTGGTTTAATGCACTCTTTGCCCTTGTAAAATCAAGAGATTCATGCAAGCCTGAACTAGCCCTAGAGCCTTCCTCTTTGGAGAAACAGTCAACCAAAGATACTAGTAATGATGATGGTAAGGAAGGACTCTTCGTCCCAGTTAAGAAGAAGCAAAAAGTAAAAGCAAGTGACAAACTGAATGAAGCTGCTATTGAGGCAATAAATGTTGTAAAAGACACACTGAAAAACGATCCAACTAAAGATCTTATTGCATTCATGAGAGAGGAAATGGACAAGTCGCGTGACCATGAATTGAAACTGGTTGGTCTCATGCAAGGTTTCAGACAAAGTAACACACCATATCAAATTCCACAGCATTTACCATCTTTTGCTAGTATGCCATGTGGAGAGGGACCCCCACCATCCACAACAAGTTACCCATCATGGAATATTGCAATTGGTAGTCATACCCAACCTGCAGCATATCAAAATTCAGATGTTAGCTATAGCACTATTACAGGTTCACAGCCCACAACCAGTGGAATTCATTGTGATGGCAAAAAAACATATCAAAAGTTGTAATGTGACATTTGACCATGAAACAACAAGTTTAAATTAGTTGTGTTAACTGAACATTTTAATGTGTACTAAAAGAAAAGAACATGCATTACAGTAGATTCTAGTAGAAACTTTTTTATGACATTTATTATGACATTCTTTGATATTTCTGTAACTGTATTATTAAAGTTGGTGTTGGTTTTTATAACGTAACAAACAACCATTTAGTCTCATTTTCAGTTTTTGTCCATGAAGTCAAGAAACTTTTCCAGTTTCTTTCTCTAACCACACTTTTTGACAAAGTGCATCTCTAACGTTCTTTGCCAAAGCTCCGGTATCTTTTGTTTTTGGACAGTCAGTCATTTGTAATAGTTCTCTGATCTCATCGCGGTTTCGCTTACCCAGGGTGTCTGGGTTAAAGGTAAGGTCGAGTTTCTTTGAAAGTGAATCGCCCTGTTCAATACAAATGTTGTGTAGAATCATGCATGCAAGAGTACCAAGGCTTACCAGATCCCTGTCACACTCATTTTTACGAAGTAGAACCCTCCATCTTCCCTTCAGTTGCCCATACGCACCTTCTGTAACCATACGGGCTCTGCTCAATCGGTAATTGAAGTATTTCTGCTGAGGGCTTAAAACTGCATCGGTATATGGTTTCATGAGCCATGTCCGAAGAGGAAAAGCTGCATCTCCCACAATCAATGGAGGAACATTCACTGTTCCTACAACCCTACCCATTTCAGGAATGCAGCTTTCTTGGATTGAATCCCACAAGACAGTCGATTGGAAAATTATAGAATCGTGCGAGTTTCCTGGAAAACCGCAACTGCCCCATATGAATCTATAATGTGAATCAACTAATGCCATAAGAACAACGGAATAAAAATTTTTAAAGTTATGGTACTCTTTCGATGCCTCTAGACCTCCAGAGGGACACTTTATGGGAATGTGGCAGCCGTCAACTGCAGCCCAGCAGCAAGGAAACTGCCAGAACTCCTCCATATCCAAGATCTTTTTCGTAACTTCCTGTCGTGATTGTGGCATATGTCTAGATATCGTGTTTGTCCACAATTGTTCTACAAGGGCTTGACACACTTCTTGAACAATCGAGCAAACCGTAGAAACACCCAGTCCTACCATTTCGGCAATTGTGTAGTAGTAATCACCTCTTCCCAATCGATAAAGGCATAGACCCAGCCTTAGCTCGGGCACAATCGGGTCTTCAGCCATTGTTTTTCTTTCCAGTTGGTGTTTTATACGGTTTAAAATATAGACAAACGTCGCGCGAGATACCCTGAAGGTTTTTTTAAATCTAGCATCAGAGTAACTTCCCCACACTTTCCCCCACCAACCAGTGTTTCGCCCCAATCGACGACAGGTACGAGGGCCTCTTATGATCGTTGCACTGCTCCTCATCACACTTATTATCATAACAAGAAAAGAAATAGTTAAAAGATGTCTTCTTCGAGATATTAGCTGGTTCATTGTGGAATGCAGTAATAATCGTCGCCTTCTGTTCTGTTTGATTAAATTTAAGATAAAATTCATTGAATGTTCGTCTCCCACCATTTTGAATTTTGCTGCAAACAATGAATCCGCTGGACAGATGTATGACTTTACAGATCGGATGTGCACTATTTAGATTCGACTTGCAATAAATTCGACGTTTGAATCAAACGTCGAACTTTATTATTTGGGTCGACTCAAATTACAATTAGATTCGGCACATGAAAAGTTCGACGTTTGAACCGAGCCTTAATGACCCTGACCCTTTAACACTACCTTGCCTACAGTAAAACGCTTTCAAACACTTACTTGGAAAGCCTAAAACAAACTCCTCCCTACCTGCGTATAACGCTTCCCCTTTCTGGAGCTGCAAGTGAACAAAAAAAAGGAAATGATGGCGGATATTATGATGACGGTTGCGCAGACCGCTAACTGAGGGGGGCATTGGGGGTATTCAATACCACCACAAGCAAATTTTGTCAATTACCGCAGTTTTTGAGTCTTGCAAATACCGTGTACCGCAAGATTTCCAATATCGTAATACCGCAATTTTTCAAGGAAAATACCGAAATTAAGTATACCGTAAGAAAAATAAGCTAATACCGCCATACCGTAAATCCCAATGTCCCCCTCCTAAATGGAAACGGCAACCAAACGGTAAACCAAATCCTATTTTGAGGTCAACTGTTATAGTTGCTCGAAGTTAGCGTAATTTGTGCATTAACATTGAACCATGAATTAACTACTAATGTAGCTGTCGAAAACTTGCTGAACCTACCTTCAAATCGATTTGACGTTTTCAGTTAGCGGTATACAGCTATTTCAATTAAGGTTGTCCACGAGCAAAGCGGAAAAGTCGAATACGAGCTGCGCGAAAGGCTGCTGCGGGGAATCGCCTTGAAAATTCATTAATTTGTTAGCGATTCCCAGCAGCCTTTAATTCGCGCTCGTATTCGACTTTTCCGCTTTGCTCGTGGACAACCTTAATTGAAATAGCTGTATAATTATGCCGAGAACCCAGGTTTGGCGTCAATAGTCACTTTTTGACTGCTGCAACATATATTCGTCAGTGCCCTAGCCAGCCCGAGAATTTGGTCATGCTATACAAATATTTTCGTGTTCATAAACCGTGAAAACAATCGATTTCTAAAGAAATGAATAATGATAATGACTTGATACTTGCATAGCATAACCAAATTATGTAGTATAGGCCTATATGCTCCAAATACAGTAAAACTAAAAAATATAGCGTAGCGAAATAGTAACTGACTTTGTTCAAAAGTAGCAGTAATTGTAGCTGACTACATATTTTTGAAGTAGCTGTAGTTATAGCGATCTACAAAAGTTTTGTAGTCAACCCACCCTTGCTTTTACTTTTTCTTCTCTCGCTGCACATTATTAACAAAAACTGTCGGAAATAAAAACATAATGTTGGAAATCATATACAATGTCATCGTATTCGATATTTAGTGCAGGTTCACAGTTAAAACGCGTTAATCTAAAGGCATAGAGTGTTAACTGAGGGCGCGGTTTTAATCACATTTATTTAATAATTGAGTCAGTTTTTCATTGTTTTTCATTAGTATATGAATCCAGGCGATACAATCTAAAAGCAAGGGAAGGGATTTGATATCTCCCCAGGGAAAATTGGGGTTTCAATTTAACAAATATAAAACATTTTCCGTGTTGATATACAGTTATATCAACACGAGTGGAAATTGGGAAAACGAGAAATTGTGTGGAAACACGACGCCCGAAGGGCGGAGTGTTTTCACACAATTTCGAGTTTTCCCAACTTCCACGAGTGTTGATATAACTATATATCAACACGGAAAAAATGTTTTATATTTGTTTTATAATATAGCAATGTCAAAAGCCCGAAGAATAAGAACAATTTCCGTGTTACAAGCGGCGGAAAATTTCCCGTGTTGACATGGAGTTATATCAACACGGCTCTTAGCCAATCAGCGTTCAGAATTTACAAATGCTATATTATAAAAGTATATATACAGTATATACATAGAATACATATAACAATATAGATTAATTATATATTCAAAGCACATATCCATGCAGTTACAAACCTGGTATATAACCAGATATATATATATATATATATATATATATATATATATATATATATATATATATATATATATATATATATATATATATATATAAATGTTGTGGTTTCCCACGTTTACGATTCCACTCGTGTAACGTCATGTAGCGGTTTTTGAGTTGTTTTCAGACGAGTGTTTCACACTCGTCTGAAAACAACTCAAAAACCGCTACATGACGTTACACGAGTGGAATCGTAAACGTGGGAAACCACAACATTCACATACAGCATTGCCAGACTAATAGCTGGCTATACGCATTGAAGGACTAACCTCCGAAATGCAACTAACATCATAACTTAACAAGTCGTTCTCAGCTTGACCTTGTAGCTCAGAAGGTAGAGCATCGTTCTAGAAATGCGAAGGTCGCGGGTTCGAATCCCAGCCGCGGTCAAGTAGAATTTTCTGCTTGCCCGGTTTGGTATACACTCGTCTGAAAACAACTCAAAAACCGCTATATATATATATATATATATATATATATATATATATATATATATATATATATATATATATATATATATATACCACAACTGACGTGATCGGTATATAAATACTCGATATAGTTAGTTACCTCTATTTTCTGAAGGACACAGATTAATTGAAAAATATTCTCATAGCATCATAAAACAAAATTACCAACCCACTATAACATATTAATTAAATGTAAATATATAGCAATGGCCAATGCCAATGTTTTCAAAAATATACTTACATTAGTCATTACTGTACTTTTCCGCACAACCAATGTTTCCAGCTTTCACGCTTCGTTCAACGGCCCATTCAAACCATGTGCCCATCGCCCAATTGGCGTGCTCACTTTCGTCAGGTTGCTGTAAAACACAGCGTTTTACAGCGCCCTGCTTTCGTATTGTGTGGTATTCTTGATTCTTTCCGTTTTTCAATCTCATCGTCACTAATAACACTTATACGGCCAGTTTCGCAATTCTGATTGTTGGGTACCGTGACTTGACGAAATGATGTTAGCTCAATTCAGCCTATTCTCTCAGTGCAGCATGACATAATTCACCGCCAAAGAAATCACGAAAGAAATCAAATCTGTCTACTTCTAAATTCTCTTCAACGATTGTATTTTGAGTGTACACAAGTCTTCATCACTCTCTCGCTTTTCCATGACTCAACTGATTTTCAATGCACCATCTTAACATTTGAATATGACAATAGAATCATGCAAACTAATGCTCTCTTTACAACAACAACAATACTTTCTACAGTATATCAATTATCATTGTCTTATCTAATGATTCTCTAGCTAAGGAAAACCTTCTAAATTATTAAATCAGTCAGTTATACAGGGTGTATCAAAAAACCTGCAAATCCTTTGAAACACAATGTTTTTAGAATTTGCATGATTCAGAACTAATTGTCCCAAGCGTGCGTAAACATAATAATTGACGAATGCGCAGTCGAACTGATAATTAGTTTTCTGCAGTTCAATTAACTTTGTGTTATTCTAATTTCTATCAACGCGGTTAATTAGAATGTATTTTCAAATCCCAGGAGCAAAATAAGTAGCACAGACACTGAAATGCTAGTAAGTACGAATTATAGATTGATCGCGTGAAAGATCAGCATAATGAGGGCGGCTTTAATTATCAACATTTTGTTTAAATGTATAATGAAACCGTCATGACATAAAGCGTCCATCCTTGGTATATAACTCTTACTTATAACGTCGTGATTTGAAAGTAAATACGGACATTCGTTGTTTGATTCCGATTTCCGTACCCACATTGGTTGTTGCTCTTTACCTTAAGATATAATTGAGAGTGGGGAAGGGTGTGGGAGAGGGGATTGAGTTCAACAAATACCGTGATTCTCTTCCCCAAATGTCCGAACTGTACTCATACGTGATCACACTGTTTTGCACATGAGTCGTCACGTCTACTTGAACTATGCTTTGTTGTTGTATGTATGAATCATTACCACATAATTATGGTCAACAAATCTTCTCATTACGTCATGGCCGACCTTAATTCTTTTTTAATTGGGTGCCTATATAAGGCTCACACGTACCATCAGATGGTTTTACGTATAGTTACAGTTACTATTCCTTATTGATATTAACATTACAATATTACATCTTTGCGTAACCACTTTATAACACAAGTCTGAATATAATTTTCATCTCAGGAATATCCCGCGAGATAGGCTACGTGGGCGTCTCGCAGTTTAAATTGGGCTGTTTTAGCAAAATCGACGCGACGTCAATCAGGACGTGAAAATTGTGGCATACACCTCGTGTTTACTTCCGGTTCGAATTTATGTGAAAATGCTTTTATTATTATACGGGCCGAATGTTTTCTGAAGATTTTGTATGAACATTCAACAACTTCTTTTTGAAAAACTGTTATATTTTGTTGTTTTTGAACAAGTGAATTCAGTTTATCGCATCATTCGGACGAAAACGGCAATTCCATTTGATTTAATCGACTTTTTGAGCTGTTCGATATTAATAGGCATACCGACTGTTTTTCACGCCCAAAAGTGTTTTTTATTTCTAGTCTAATGTCGTGTTCTTGTGACAAGGCAACTAAACTGATTGTTTCCATTTTTACTCGTTTAAATGCTCCAATTATTCTATGTTACTACTTTTTTCTTCATTTTAAAGTCTTGTTGTTGTAATTCAGTTTTTGTGTTTTGAAATGTTTCTTTTCGGGCAGAAATAGAAGCAATGTTGAAGTGTTCAACAATGCTTGTAGTTTTGTTGTTTTGTCATGGCGATAAAAGTACTCTCAAAAATCAATGCGTTCAAAATTCGGCGACAAATAAGCACATAAACTTGCCAATCAAACC